TTATAGATAAAAAGAAGGAAAAAAAGTATCTAATGTTACTTTAGATAAATTTATCTAATATTCATCAAAACGACGTCGTTTTGGAGTTAAAAAATTAAAATTAGAATGATAAAGACTATTATAACCCTGAAATAAATTAAAATTACAAAAACATCATAATTTTCGTTCCAAAACGACATCATTTCGGTGAACATTAAATAAAGTTATCTAAAGTAACTTTAGAAAACACAGACCGTAAAAAGAAACTCAGCGAGGGAAAAAAACATATAACACCTTATGAAAATATTGTGACGTACATCTTAACTTTGAATGGATCAGTCAACGACTTATACCAAATTGATAGTGAGTTACTAAAATTAAAAAAAAAATCTAATATTATTTTACTATATTCATGTTTCAAATTATTAACTAATAATAATCGAAATTTAATAAATTCTAAAGGACTTTTTGTGTATCATAAAATATTTTGACCGCCATGGAAAGCAATTCTTAATGCAGTATTTAATACTTTTAACTTTTAGTTAGTACAAAAGAGTAACATGCTTAAAAAAGTTGTGAAATATATAATATTGTGCCTTTTAATCTTTGGTTATGAGATGGACGTATCACATATTCCCCAATAAGCGTTGTATCTATTTCCAGAAATCCTAACGTGTGGACGCTAAGAAAAAGTAAAATATATCAAAATAAAACTATGGGAGGCATAAAACCTGTGATGCACCAACATTAATATGGATATGACATGATACAATACTCTGACACTTTAATTTTAAAAAATTAAATTTTGATAGATTAGGACATATTTTAATATTAAATAATATTTTTAATTTATGTAGTATATATTATATTTAATATTTAATAATTTAACAAAAAAAAAGATAAACTTGTAATACTTATCAATTTTGCAAAGAAATATAAAATATCATAAATATTTATATTAAATTCAATAAAATGATAAACCCAATTCAACGAGTCTAATAATTGGAACTAAAAATGCAAAGCAACATATCTTTTGAAAAAAATTTTAATTATAATATGTGATAGAGTGTTAGGAAATATTAAAATATTAAAAAATATCGAATATGACACATTAAATTTTTTAAAATATCAGTATATTTATAATGGGGAAGGATATTGTAATAATCAAGTTGTGTTACTACCATGTTACTACCAATCAATTTTACCGTTAGATCGATTATGTTGATCCAGCGGTTATATTTATTTTCATCTTTGTATGGTTATGATTCCCCATATTTAAAGTGAAAGCATTAAATATAGAAAATCATAACCATACAAAGGTGGAAATAAATATAAAGTATTAAATTTGAAAAATCATGACCATACAAAGATGAAAATAAATATAACTGTTAGATCAACATAATTAATCTAACGGTGAGATTGATTGGTAATAACATGATAGTAACACAATTTAGTTGTTAGAATATCATTTCTCATTTATAATATAAAACTATAAATTTCTTTTTGCTTTTGTTGTTGCTGGTATTAATTGTTGGCACTAAAATTGTTGTTGCTTTTGCAAACTTTGTGAAAGGCACAGTACCTATCATACTGCTTGCACCTACAGTTTTGGTCCCACCCACTAAAACCAAGAACTTACAAAGCAATAATGGCATCTAAAAAGTTTCTCCATGATAAATGTCATTTCAGTAAAGAAGCAACTTTCCTGTTATCAAAAAAAGAAGAAGCAACTTTCCTGCAGATGGAATAGGAGAGCACTTCTTCTACTTTATTCTATAGCTTGATCAAACTCTGGGATGTATAAAAGGGAACCGGTTACTCGGCGCAAGAGTGAGATAGAAGCAATATTAAAATCGGTCCGATTATTGATTCGGTTGAGATATTGGATCCTTTAATTAGTGGGTCATTGGTTTAATTATATGACTTGATAATTATATGCAATTTTATAATTTATATTAAAAAATTATAAATATACTCAAATATTTAAAAAAAATGATAAAAGTTTCAAATATTTTAATATAAAAAATAATAAATCACATATTATTATTCAATAAAGGATCAAACAAAAATATAATGATCGTGATACGGGCTTTAGGTTCAGAAAATGATATCTCTAACTATAAATCAAATCAAAATTTTCTGCATAGTGCATAATTGAGATAATATTAGTGATGTAGATACATAACTTATATAAGTCAATAAGCAAAAAAATATTCAAATATGTTCATTATTTTATTTTTTTTGAAACCGGGACGAATCACCGGCTAATCAACCGGGTCATCGATTTTCATGAAAATCGGCCGGTCGCACTTGGTCGCATCGATTTTGATGTACAATTGGTCTGTTACTTCAACTAAACCGATTATATGATTGATTTATCGATTTTTCAATCGACCCAGCCGGAACAGTCCAATTTTATTAACACTAGATAGAAGGAAGAGGGGGAGGCTCGGAGAGTCAAAGACAAGATAGAAAAGGAGGTAAAAAAAATTTAAATATTGCAATTTAAATAAAAAACACTAAAAAGTAGTGATTGAAACTCATTTACAAATCTATAACAATAAGTTATGTAGGGGCGTTTAGTTGAGGAGAAATTTTTTGAATACTAGGGAAATGGTTGGAAAGTGAGTTTGGTAGGAAAATGTAAAAAAAGTTGTTTAGTTAGACAAAATATTATTGGGTAAATTGATTAAAGTTTTGTAAGTCTATGTTTGGTTGAGTGTAAAATATTGATGGAAAAGTGGTATAAAACACTACAAGAAAAAATGTATATTGCGACCGAATAACTGAGGCGGTTTGCATTGAACTGCCTCCATATGATTTACAGAGGCGGTTTAGAAGGCGTTTTTACTGACCGACTGAAATTGAACAAATTACTGAGGCGGTTACTTTTTAACCGCCTGCTTTATTTGAATACAGAGGCGGTTTTAGAGGCGTTTGGACAGTTAGCCTCAAAATTATGTAATACTCAGGCGGTTATATTACAATCGCCTACAAATAACCTTATTTTAGGCGGTTTTGCACCTTTCGTATAGAAGTATTGAAAAAAAAACTGAATGTCTTTATTATATAAGAGGAATCGAACCTGCACCATCTTAGTTAAGAGACAGCGTGTAACCACTGATCCAACCAAAAAACATAAGCAAGAAATGCAATATTACAATGTTATTTTAAAAAGTTTTCGTTTCAGTTTCATTAGGCGGACTCATTTCCCTCCTTGTGAAAAATGAGAGTCACTTTTAATCTAGGGTTTAGGTCCTTTTTACCTTTTGTCTCTTAACTTTGTCGAAATTGAAAGCTCTTTTTTTACCGTTTCTCTCTGTGGTCACCGGTGATGAAGGACGTCAAGGTCACCAGTGGTGCTCCCTACCTCAGACACCGGAACCTGCTTGAAGAGCCCCTCTCATCATCAACTTGTGCGACTCGGTCAGGTGCCCTTGATGTCATAAACTTTGTCTTTTGTCTTGCATTCTCTATACCGATTGTTTTTGTTTTCCTTTTTCTCGTGTCCGAAATAGAGAACCTGCTTCATTTTTTTTTCTTTTTATTGTTTGTCCTCTAGCCACCCAATCTTTGTCTCTCTCTCTCTCTCTCTTCCTCTCCCTCTCCCTGACATAGTAGAGCAGAGAGCGAGCGAGGAAGAAAAACAAGAGCTATTGACCCAATTAGACGTAGAGGCATTAGTTCGTTTTGAACAGCTTCAATGCATGCCGACAATCAAGATACTTGCACACTGCTCCCTTATCATCTTGGGATATAACGTAAGTAAATAAGGCTAAACTGTATTGGTCTTTGTTAATGATTTTGTTTGGTTTTTATATGGTAATGAGTTATGGCCAAGGTTGACAAGCCTATTACTAGTATTTACTATTTATTTCTCCTAATTTAAGAATCATGATTATATCATTGGAGTTGATATGTTGATTTCAATTCATTTACTATTTTTCAATTAGACCACTTGGTAAAGTGCTGGAAATTCATTAGAATATTCTCTCTCAGTATACAGATGGCATCATTGTCATGAAAGCATGTGTAATGAACTAATGATGTTAACACAATCCAGTATGTTTAAGTTGAGGAATGAAGAAACTAATGAATGCTTACCTGGTATAAAGTTGTTGATTGCTCTGTATAGTGGGTAATGATTCTGTCTATAAGATGATGGTACCCTCTCAATGAGTTCCATGAATCTCTTAGGTCCCATATTTGGATAACTAGCACCAACTACACGTTACTGTTAGTTATCAGTTATATGTGATTATTAAAAATATGTGATTATTAAAAATGACCATAATAAAACGAAAGCAAGAAGAAAAACCATCTTTTTACTTCGGATCAGTTTGTGCTAAGTTCTGCTATGGTATTACTATCACTCTCAGTGCTTACAACATTGTAGCTGCAAGATGTGCTGCCGAATACTTGCATATGACAGAGGATGTTGAGAAGGGGAACTTGATTTATAAGATTGAGGTTTTCTTCAATTCTTGCATTCTTCATGGTTGGAAGGATTCTATTGTGACTCTACAAACCACCAAAGCATTGCCTTTGTGGTCAGAGGAGTTGGCAATTACCAGCAGATGCATTGAAGCCATTGCCTCAAGGGTCTTAAGCCACCCCTCAAAGGTGAGTTTGTCACATAGTCATTCACGAAGGGTAAAGGATGATAATGTATCTTACAATGGAATAGAAAGACTGAGACATAAGTCAACAAGCAAAGGATGGTGGGCTGAAGATTTGGCAGAATTGAGCATAGATCTTTATTGGAGAACCATGATAGCTATCAAATCTGGTGGCAAGACACCTTCGAATCTCATTGGTGATGCATTATAAATTTATGCATGTAGATGGCTACCAAATATCACCAAGAATGGACATGTCAAGAAGGAAGCTGAATCTGATTCTGATTCTGATTCAGCAAGTGAAATAACTTCAAAGCATCATTTGCTTTTGGAATCATTAGTAAGCTTGCTTCCACCAGAGAAAGGCGCAGTTTCTTGCACTTGCTCAACACTTCCACTTGCTCAACACTTTATTTCAATCTCCACCCATTTGCCATCTTTGTAGAATTCTAAACCAGGCACTTTGTCATCTTGGCGTAATAGTATGATACCACCTGCATCTGTGTGCTCTCTAAGTCCTCTCACTAATTCTGGTTGTAGAAATTGAGGGTACTTGGCCACTATTGTTCCCATAGCAGGTCCATTACTTTTAGAAAATGCTTCCATTATGTAATCTTTCTCCATAACAAGGTTTTCACTCATGAGCATTGCTAACTTTTTTGCCAACTTAATGAGTTCTTCAATGTACTCATCCACTGTTTGGCTGCATTTACATATATACTCAGGTAATTTGTTAAATAAATTACTCAAAAAATAGTTAACTAAGAACTTCTTAAAAGTTAACACAAAACTTATTCTATTTACCAGAAAAAAGCCCCATTTTCACAAGGTTCATGCACAAGTGCCATGGTTTCACCCTTCTTGTATCCATTCAGAGTGCTAAACTCTATCACAGGGATTGCCATATCTATTGAGCTAAATATTTGTTTGCTGAAGATAAATGAATGGAGGTGGTATATATAGTGCTAACAAAGATTTAAATCTATCTCAACACTGTAACTAAAGGCTAAATAAATAGTTTGAAATCTATATTTAGCATAGACTTAAAATGAGTGAACATTTTGTGCATTTGTGCCTTGAGAATGGAAAGTTCAACCCCATCTCGCTATTATCATGTGATCCTGTACATATTTTTCCTTGTATTTGTTGTGAGCACGGGTATTTGTTGTTTTGAAAGACCAATGAGATTTTTGTATTCTTATCAACTATTTGGTATTTTTTTTGTTCAAACTGATATGCTCTTTTTGTGAGCACATATTTTTTTTGTTCAAATAAAGTAGATAAGTAGGGCCAGGAGACATGTTTTTTTCAGGTTAATATTATGAAAAATAAACACTCTACCATAATAATAACTTGAGAAATAATATTTTTTCCTTGAATATGTTGTTTTCAGGTACGTGCAAAGGCTGTTACAGCTTGAAGCCACTTGTGCCAAGGCTGTCTTTACTTCTGTTAATTGAGGTTTGTCTTTTAATTCGTTGTGTGTGTATATATATTTTGTCTATTGTATGATGGAAGGGAAGTGATGAAGACAAAGAAAGAAATATAGAGAAATGGTGTCAATGTATATATATTTTTTGTTTCTTTTCTTATTTGTTTAGGAACCACACAATGTCTTATTCGTGCTTGTTCAACCTTTCTCCATTTCCCCTTCATAACTTTTATTAAATATTTCTTTGTTTTGAATTTTAGTGGCATCACTGGCATGATTACCCATTAACATCATTTTACTAATATTTTATGTATTGAGTTAGGAAATATTAGTAAAATTAGTAAGCCTTTCTTTGCTGTAAAAACTGTGAATTTGAGCAAAATACTTGTCTTATTTTCAGAGTGATGGATAAGTCTTGGATTACAAAACCGCAAAATTCAATTGAGTATAATGAAGGAGTTAGGAGATTTATTGATTTTGCTTTTCAACATAGTGCAATCGAAGGCAAAATCTTATGCCCTTGCTCGTCTTGTGGTTTTATAAAGTGGTTGTCAAAAGAAACAGTTTATGATCATTTGCTATGCAAGAAATTCCCTGAAGGATACACATTTTGGTTCTATCATGGAGAGTCAAATGTGATCTCAGCTACTAATATTGCTGGTCGAGCTGAGTCACAAGGTGCAGGAGACCAGAATGTTGATGTAGATCCAATATTTGACATGATCAATGATGCATTTGGCATAAATAGGCAACGTGACAGTGACGTTCAATTTGGGTCAGGGGAAAACATTTCCCAAGGGGGGGAACAAATTGTTTTCCAAATAAAGAAGTAAATGAAGACAAAGAATTTCTTGAATTAGCAAGAGATGGGGAACAACCATTATATGAAGGGTGTCATAAATATTCCAAGCTTTCCTTTATTGTAAAGTTGTATCATATTAAGTGCTTATGTAAGATGACTGACAAGTCCATGACTATGATATTAAAGCTTTTGCATGATGCATTTGAACATGCCAAGATTCCATCTTCATTCTATGAGGCAAAGAAGACTATCACCAAGTTAGGATTGAACTACCAGAAGATAGATGCTTGTCCAAAAAATTGTATGTTGTTTTGGGGAGCAGAAGATGAAGATAGACAAATTTGCAAGGTTTGTAAGACATCTAGATGGAAACCACCTGTTAAAGAATGTGAACGTACATGTTCTCAACAAGGAAGAAAGAAGCGTAATGTGGCTGCAAAAGTTGTTCGATACTTTCCCCTTAAACCACGCTTGCAAAGATTATTTTTATCAACGAAGACTGCTGAAGATATGAGATGGCATGCGATGCATGATAACATTGATGGCTTAATGAGACATCCTAGAGACTCTGAAGCATGGAAAAAGTTTGATGAGTTGCACACATCATTTGGTTCAGACCCACGAAATATACGACTCGGTTTAGCCACCGATGGTTTTAATCCTTTTGGTAATATGAGTGCTAGTTATAGTATTTGGCCAATCATTCTGATTCCGTACAACACCCCTCCATGGTTGTGTATGAAGTCGACGGCTTTTATTATTTCAACTATAATACCTGGTAAAAGAATGCCAGGTAATGACATTGACGTGTTCTTACAACCTTTGATCAAAGAGTTGAAAGAATTATGGCAGGATGGTGTTGATACGTATGACGCTTTCACACGGGAGATGTTCAAATTACATGCAGCATTGATGTGGACGATTAGTGATTTTCCTGGCTTAGGAAATCTATCTGGTTGGAACACATACACTGGTAAAGCATGCCCGTCATGCAACCTGGATTCTGAACCTTGTCGTCTTTATCATAGTAAAAAATGGTGTTTTATGGGTCATCGACGCTTTCTTGACCAAAAACATAGATTTAGATTGAACAAGGTTCGGTTTAATGGAAAGCAAGATGTGCGTAATCCTCCAAGGTTGTTGTCTGGTTGTGAAATACTTGAACAAGTTGCAAATATTAATGTGACATTTGGTCGAGCACCCGAAGTTAGTGGAAGAAGAAAAAGAGGACGCACTAGTGACCGTGATGCACATGGCACCACCCAGCAATGGAAAAAGAAAAGCATATTTTTTGAACTTCCATATTGGAGGCATAATTTATTGCGTCACAATCTTGACATGATGCACATTGAGAAAAATGTGTGTGATAATATCATTTACACATTGCTTAATGATGCCTCTAAGTCAAAAGATCATTTGAATGCAAGAAAAGATCTTGTAAGAATGGGTTGTAAGCATGACCTTTGGCCAGATGAGAATGGAAAATATCCTTTAGCAATATATGCAATGACTAATCAAGGAAAGAAGATGTTCCTAACAACATTGAGGAATATCAGTGTACCAGATGGTTATGCAAGCAACATTTCTAGGTGCATTGATGTCGATTCTATGCGGTTGAATGGAATGATGAAAAGTCATGATTGTCATATATTGATTGAGCAATTACTGCCATTGGCCACACGAGTAGCATTGCCTGATAATGTCTCAAGCATTTTAATTGAGTTATGTTCATTCTTCAAACAAATGTGCGACAATGTGTTGAATGTTGAAAAATTGGATTTATTGCAACGTCAAGTGGTGGTCACCCTATGCCATATGGAAATGTTATTTCCTCCATCGTTCTTCACAGTCATGGTTCATTTGATTGTTCACCTTGTTGAGGAAGCTAAGCTTGGAGGTCCTGTGCACTATCGATGGATGTATCCTATTGAGAGATACTTAGGACAACTGAAATTATATGTCCGCAACAGAGCTCGACCAGAAGGGTCTATAGCACAAGGTTACCTAATGCAAGAAATTCTAACATTTTGTTCAAGGTACATAGATAATATTGAGACTCGATGGAATCGACCTGGGCGGGTCGATGATGTACCTAATGATGCGCAAGATAAATCACAGATGGATGAAATCTTTCCCCGAGTAGGAAAGCCAATCGGTGCATCATCATATTTCAATCTTACATCAATGCAGAGGTTGCAGGCTCATAGACATGTGTTGACGAATTGTCCACTTGTTGAAACATACGTCCAGTAAGTGAACCTCAATGATTTTTTTAAGCATGCTATTGTTATTCATGTTATAATTTCAGTTATTTATTTAGGGAGTTTCGGAGAGACGTGAAGAGGAAACTAAGAAGGACTAATCGAAGTCAAGCTGAGATAGATAAACGGGTTCATAGAGAGTTTGTTGATTGGTTCTCTAAACGTGTAGGTATTTTATTGCACAATAAAGGTCAACAATATTTATACTTCACGAATAAAATTGCACGGTGCTAACATTATCACTTTTTTGTGTTGTAGATTCCTTTAGATGTTAAAAATATTAGAGAAGCAGACAAAGATATTATGTTAACCCTTGCCCACGGTCCTATGTATGAAGTAAGAAGGTTCAGTGCATATAATGTGAACGGATTCAAATTTCGAACATTGGATCGAGATAACAACCTGAAAACACAAAATAATGGGGTTTTTGGAACGTTTGACACAAGAAGTTATTCAAGCACAAGAGATGACCAAATGATATGTGGAGGAGTCCCTTACTATGGGAAATTGGTTGACATTATTGAGATTAACTACAATGGCTTGTTTACTGTGCCCTTGTTTAAATGTCAATGGGCTGATACAACTACTCACAGAGGGCATAAAAAAGATAAATTGGGTTTTACCCAAATTAACTTTTCAAAATTGATACATACTGGTGAGAAAGAGGATGATGAGCCGTATATTAAAGCTTCTGAAGGTCAGATGGTTTTTTATGTTGATGATGAGAAAGAAAAGGGTTGGTGCATACCTGTCCATGTAAAGCCTCGAGACTTGTATGATATGGGCGAAGATATCATGACAACCACTGACCTATTCCCAACACAGAACTTAGACCAAATTTTAGTTGATGACAGATTAGCTCTAACATTATCAAGACCTGCCATAGATGATGACACTCCAAATTTGATAGATATTCACAATGAGGATGAAGATTTAGACATATGAATTTTTTGTTTAAGGAGTAGGTTATGTCTAGTTATATACACATGTAGCATGTTGTTTTTCTTCCTTATGTTTTTTTTTGTATTGTTATGTATGGATTTCTTTATATGATATGTTATGTTTGTGTGTTATTGTTGCTTGATATTGCCATTCAATATCGTGATGCTAACATACTATGAACTTTTTCCACTAGATATTGAAATTGGATGATTTGTAAATACGTAAATATATGTTTGCATGTTATATTTTGGACAAATGCATTAGGTGAAATGCCGCGTACAAGGAGATTCGCTCCAAGAAAAACTTCAACAACCTCTACAACTCCTACCTTGCAAACACAAAATGTATAAGCCAATGAGAACATAGGAAATGGGGTTGAAAGTGTGGAAACACAGCCACGTGAAGTACAAAGCCAAGGAGATCAAGTTTCTAATGAATCTACTCAACAAAATGAAAGCCAAACTTCCTACCGGCCCAAGAGGGTGTGCAACAATTATTGGGTGGTTGATGTTATAGGTATACCATATAACACATATATTGACTCTCTTTTTCATGTTTGTTTATGTCATAAATTATTGTCTCACTAACAAAAATCACATGAGTATATGTTATAGATGAACAAGGAAGGGTTAACGAGGAAAAATTGCGCATTAGGGACGTTTTGGTACTTGCAGATAACAAGCTTGTGATGGTGCCATGGAGTGAAGAGAAGCAGCCTGTTTCTGATGCTGCTGCACTATTGAATGGCTTTTTAGGACATCTTGCATGTAACACTAATATGTTCCCAATATGTTTCGATAGGTGGCCTCATGTACCTCCAAACTATAAGAAGATTGCTTGGGAGAAGACCATAACGGTATAAATGTTCTTTCAATTTCGTTTACTAAGCTGAAATTACAACCCATTTATTTTGTTTTATATTATCCATATTGCAGAAAAAGTTTAATGTTTTCCTGGATTACCACCACGATTATTGTATGGGAAGTATGGGAAAGAAATGGAAGGATAACAGATGGAGGCTATGCAATTATTATTATCATAAAGATCGAAGTTATGAGCAAAACCTTGAGAATTATCCTGATGGTCTGACTAGAGAACAATGGGCTGGTTTTTTGCAATATAAGTTAAGTGATAAAGCCAAGGTAATGACATAAGCATGTATATATTTGCCTAATTTGGTTAACTTCACCTCATTTTAAATAAGCTTTGCTGGACAATGCAGAAATACAGTGAGATAAATACTAGAAATAGAGCAAAGCAGACCATTATGCATACACTTGGATCAAAAAGCATTGCAAGGACAAAATACGACCTGGTACTTATGTGAATTTCAAATCTTGTAATCTATTTCTGATTTGTGAATTTAACTAACATTTACTATACTGACATTGCTTTAGGAACAAAAACATGGACGCAAATTTAGTAGGGGGGAAATGTGGGCCATTTCGCATACGAAAAAGGATGGCAATATTCTGTGTGAAGAAGCTAGAGAAAAGAATGTATGTATTTTGTTGGTATCTTAGGAAGCTATAGTAGAGTTGCTAAATTAAATGTTTGACATTTTGTTGTAGGACGAATTACAAGCAGAGATAGAGGAGATAACTTCTGAAGATGAGGCATTTGAGACAGTGTTGGGGAAGGAGCACCCGGGGCGAGTTAGAGGAAAGGGGTATGGGGTGGTTATAACTCAAATGCGTAAGCGCCGTTGCACTTCTGCATCATCTTCGTCTGCTGGTCCTTCGCAAGCAGAGTATGATGCTCTCAAACAGGAACTTGATTGTTTAAAAGGAAAAATAGGAGAATTTGACTCCATGAAAGCACAAATGGCTTCTATTATGCAACATTTGAATGCTCAACAGGCTTCTCATATTTCCTTAAATGAGGTAAATCTTGGGTCATAATTTCCTACATACTTTGGAATTAGAGTTGGTTCAATTTGTGTTGGCTATGTATGGACATCAATAATTTTTTTCAAGACTATAGATTTTTTGCATATATATTTGTTTCATATTTATGTTCTGCAGTGCTGATTGGTATTGTTGATGATATAGTAGTATAAAATGCTATTGTTTAAATTCTGCCTTTTTGTTCAGAATTTACCTTTGTAGTTTGTAACTCTTTTCTCCACATTTCCTAGCAAACTCTAGTCGTGAGTGCTTTTATTGTGTAGTTAACAAATCATGGCACAGGGAAGGTGTACCCACAGTGCATGCACACTCTCCTCCACATGCATGCATATGGTATTTCATTTATCATTCATCTGGATTTTGTCTTGTCGCCTTGGTTGAGTCAATTTGAAGTCTTACATTCCCTTTTAGTGACATGAAAATCACTTTGTTGAAATGGATTTCTAGACTGTAGTTATGGGGTTGTGATTTTTCTTTTATTTATTTATTTTTAGATAAAAATGGGGTTGTCGTTTTCCTATGTTAACTAGCTGATGTGTCATTGCATTGAAAGTGCTTAATATGATTTTTTTTTTTAAATGTCATTTACGTTGGAATGCTTCTAGTTTTTATGAATGTGCCCATCTCTTAGTGCCAACGGACAGAGAATAAGTCCAATTCTATTGAGCTGTTTCTTGAAATTGAACCTTTTTGGATATGCACGGTTGATTACAACTTCATAAATTTGCTGCTTATTGATTTAGATGATTTTTCATTGATTTACGAGTAAATTTTTTTTTCTTTTTGGCTTTTGAATTTGGTTCAAAATTATAATCGGGCATTGCAGTTTTTTTCATTAATTATAATCATACAAGTCTTTGCACTTTGTTAAATTCATTGACAGATATATCAGGTTTATCATGGATAGTTATAGTGATTTTTTCCCCCAATGTATCAGGTAGCAGATATGGGTTCTCCCGGGGTTAGAAGATCTTCTCATGCAAGTTATGACCCAAATAATGAAGGACCGGATCCACCCCATCAAATTCCACCTCCACCACCACCACCTCAAAGTTGAATAGTTGATGTAGTCATTGATGTTGGATCGATAGTGATATTGCTTTCTTTGTCATTATCATGTTGGATTTTTTGAAGACTTTTCCATAATAGTTTAGACATTTTTTATGGTTGTTAAACATTTTGTTGTATGATTTTGGTTAATGTATGCAATTATGGCCTTTTAATCTTGTTATGAATTTATATATATAATACTTTTAATTCAAGGATATTAAAATTGTATGTTCAAATGCAACAATTCAAAAAAAAAGAAGATTAAATGCACTAGCTTTTGGATGGTTATAAGTAAACGTTCACTAACAAAATTAGATAATTATATAAAAAAAAATATTATATAAATCACAGGCAGTTCAAAAACTGCCTATATATGCCAAAGGCTTTAAATATTAATTCAGCCTTTGATAGAGGCAGTTTAAAAAACTGCCTTAGAAATAGGAACAGAGGCCAACGTAACAGCCCAGAATTTATATGCACGCGGTTTCATAAACCGCCTAAAAAAGACAACATATATTAAACACAGGCGGTTCCATAAACCGCATAAAAATTGCTCCATATGTTATACACAGGCGGTTCATAAACCGCCCTTGATATCGCAGCAGATTCTTGTTCGGCTAACTGAGGCGATAATAACCGCCAGTTGTTACGCCTCTATTTAATCGTAAGCGGTTGTGCCAGCGCTTTATATTAACCGCCCTAGATAGCCTTTCGACAGTAGTAACTGAGGCAGTTATGGAACCGCCTGTCGTATCAATTAAAGGCGGTTATAACCGCCTCAGAATACTATTAAAACCGCCTCAAAATAGAAAGTTTCTTGTAGTGAAATGACAAAAGTAACTCTTTTTAAATTTTGAAAATTGACAAAAGTAAATTTGGTAGAGATGTGCAATGTGATAAGGTTAGGTTAAAAAAAGTATATGAGTCACATCTCTTATTTTCTTCTATCAATTTCCCCAGCCAACTTACAAATACCACATTGTAAGTGCCATTTTTTATCTTTGTTTATCGTCAAATTTTACTCACAATTGATGAAGGATGGGCAAATTGATTTGCTTGTAAAATTTTTGAAAACCATAAACCAAATATGGTGAAGACAAAATGCCACTTACTAATGTCTATCTATCTTATAGAAATACTCCAATCAAACGCACTCTATATATTGATTTAAGCACAACAGCTTATGCATAAAAAGAGGTGCACTTGGCCTCTTGTTGTACTTAAAATTATGCACTACCAGTTGTGCTCAAATCTATCCGTAACTTGTTATTTTAGGTTCATAAATATGTTTTAAATTACTATATTTTTATATTTTTTATTTAAATAACAATATATAAACTTTTTACCGAGAAAAGGAAAACCGAATACTAAATCAGAAAGTAAAATCAGTATACGGTCAATGGGATTGTCTAACATAGATGCCATTCTTGACATGAGTATAAACTTGGACAATCAGCAAGGTTGAAAGCAGCTATCCTGAAGAAACAAAACTCACAGGAAAAAAAAAATAGAACTATGATAATGCACTAGGCTGTTTTTTAATAAACAAAAATGGGAGTTGGGGAACGAGACATTGACCATTGTGACTTAATAGAAATCGGACTAACCGATTCGACCACTAAGGTGGTGTTTGGTTGGGTGGATTTTGAAATAAATTCATGCAAATGAAGTTGGCTTTCCTCAAAGCATGCGTTTGGTTGAGAGTGAATTGGGTGAATACCTAGGCAAGATCAATGCCTACCATTCTCATTTTTGTGCCATTTTCCTATGCTTCTGCACTGTTCAGAATCCATTGTAGAAGGTGGTTTTTTAAAGAAACCTGGCTAAATCACGTAGAGCCACAATATATGAGACCACAATACCCTCCGATCTTATCTTGATTGTGTGGTCACCAGCGTATTTGAGTACATACAAACTGATTCAGCTAAGCTTCGTTGGGTGTGTTGAAAACCACTTTTCCACTCGGTGACCGGAAGAAGTGACTTTGCACGGTGGGGGAGAACTGAGTGTTGGTTTGTGTGGTTGAAGGTGTTAGCCTAAAAAAGCTGTTTAACACTCACAAATAACTCTGGACCTGGGCTTCTATTTATTTATGTTGACCCCTTTTTCTGCATGGTTGATGAACGGGTGATGATTTCTGGATTATTGGCAGGGGTAGTAGCCATGGCGGTGGGGAATTTAGGTGTCGAAGAATTGGGGAAAAAAAAGAAGAGAGATAAGAAAATTTGGTGAGAGAAGAAACAAGGTTATTTTCATAAATGTTACTTTTTTTTCTATCTATATTTTATCTACACCCAAACATAGACTTTATAAAAGTTACCTAATTTTCCTATCTAAATTTTTTCCAACCAAACAACTTTTTTTACATTTTCCTACTAAACTCACTTTGCAACCATTTTCCTATCAATTACATTTCCCTAGTATTCAAAAATTTTATCCTCAACCAAACGCCCCCTAAGAGTTTTGTGGCCTCAGTGTTGTGTATTTTGAGGTCATTACGTTAAAAGTTAATTTAAAAAGTGAGAGTGCTTAATATTTTATCAATTTTATATTAATTGCTCGTACATTTAATATGAGATTCGTAACATTATTAGTTGTATAAACAATTGACGTGAGATTTATAAGATTTTGAATACTTGAATCTTTTGAAATAACTTTTGATGTGATAATCTAAAGATTTGTAACACTGAACAAAGTGTTACGTAACATAACCAAACTCAATAACATTTGTAGCGAGTTTGATAATATGACATTTGGGCAAAAAAAAATTTTAACCCTTGTGACATTTTGGCATTTTTTATTCAAAATAATGGCACAATAATCAATGTCCCGTTGGGGAAACTTTGACATGCTAAAAACAGTATGAGTTGTTATTTGTCTGATTTTCGTAGGCAATTTGACTGTGGAATTCCTTATTGTGTTTTCATTTTGCTGCTCTACAATAAGTTCAATTTAAATAAATATTACATAAATATCTGTGTCGTCCTTTATGTTGATTAATATTAAGATAATGGCGAAAATAAAGTAACCAAAGCAGGGGATGCTTGAATCTTAAGGGCGTGTTTGGTACAGGAGAAATTTTTATTTGTCCGAGAATCTCGATTTTCAAAAATATGATTTTTGCATTCAGTTTACGATATTATCTGAAAATTTAAAATTTAAAAAAATTCAGTTTTCCAGGAATCCCTCAAAATCTCGCATAACAAACGCCCCCTTCCAACAATACCAAAATAAACAAAACCTGATTTGAGTTAAAATAACTTCATATTACTGCAAAAAAAAAAACTCATTTATGTTGGGGATATGGGCGAGCAATTTTTTCCGTGTGCTTGCGGGATTAATCTCGTGGGGTTTAATATTCTGGCTCTGTAGCATTAACATCCCCTGTGGTGAATGTTTAAAAGTTTAAGCTCTCAATGTGGAGTACGATGGTAATATACTAATATACTAAGTTTAAGCTCTCACGTATGATTTTTAATGACAAAACAACGGAATAAAATTTTAATTAGTTTTAATGACAAAATTATAATTTTTAACTCCGCCCATGTGTGCTTGCATGCATGGCCTGTCCCAAGCATAAAGGAGGAGGGTTGGCGTCAGGTGTTGTGAACCGGCCGTAAAAAACAGCTATATTTTTATGTGATAAACCTATATGATTTTTCGTTGGGGCGTACCCTTCATAGCGACGCGTTGCATCGGGCCCCGGGTGTAGCGAAAAATGGATTAGGGTCCTTGCCACAAGGCAAGGCGCTGCATCGGGCCCGGGGTGTAGTGAAAAGTGGGCTAGGGTCCTTTCCCCAAGGCAAGGCGCCAGGTCTTCACCCGGATTCGGTGAGAAGTATGCCAGGGTCCCAACACGCAAATGGGCGAGCGTGGCGGGCAAGCACAGCCCAGGGGTTAAGGATGAAATTGAGAAGTTGGAACATAGGAACCTTAACGGGTAAATTGAGGGAGTTGACAGATATTTTTGCTAGAAGGAAAGTGAATGTTGTTTGTTTGCAAGAAACTAAGTGGGCTGGAGAAAAGGCCAAGGAAATGGATGGAACTGGTTTCAAGTTATGGTATACAGGTGCTAACAAGAGTCGAAATGGTGTTGGAATTATGATCGATAAAAGTTTCAGAGATAAAGTTGTGGACGTCAAAAGGAAAGGCGACAGGATTATTCTGGTTAAGCTTGTTGTGGGTGATCTAATCCTGAATAGCCTCAGTGTGTATGCACCCCAAGTTGGATTGCAACCAATTGATAACAGCCAATTTTGGGAAGACTTGGATGAGGTTTTGAGGGGAATACCTCGAGAGGAGAAGATTTTCTTAGGAGGAGATCTAAATGGTCATGTTGGTAAAAGCAATGGAGGTTTTGATAGAATTCATGAAGGTTTTGGCTATGGGACGAGAAACGAGACTGGAGAAGATATCTTGAATGTTGCACTAGCCTACGATTTGATGCTAGTGAACACCTTTGTTCGAAAAAGGGAGTCACATCTAATCACTTATCATAGTGGCCAAAATTGTAGTCAAAATGATTTCTTTCTGGCTGGAAGAGAACATAGAACTTCTTGTGTCAACTGTAAGGTCTATCTTGGAGAGTGTGTCGCTATGCAACATAAGCTGGTAGTCTTGGATGTTCGGTTCAACAAAGTACTTACAATGAGGAAGAGAGCTCAGAACCCAAGGATAAGGTGGTGGAAGCTTAAGAAGGGAAAAGAGAGAGAGTTCAATGAAAGAATGTTGCACGAAGGACCTTGGGAGTTTGATGGAGGGGTTAATGCAATATGGAATAAGATGGCTAAGTGTATTCAAAATATGGGAAGCAGGGTGTTGGGAGAAATCAAAGGAAATAGATTTCATACAAAGGAAACATGATGGTTGAATGGAGAGGTGCAAGAGGCAATTAAACATAAGAAGGAGTGCTTTAGATCTTTGCATAAAAGTCCCAGTGAAGAGAACTTGCAAAAGTTTAGATTGACGAGAAAAAATGCAAAGAAAGCAGTGCGAGAAGCTAGAGGCAAGGTTTTCGACGAGTTATATAAAAATCTTGGGAGCAAGAATGGTGAAAGAGGTATTTACAAACTTGCAAAATTAAGGGATAAGAAAAGTAAAGACCACACCCAAGTTAGATGCATAAAGGATGAAAATCAAAAACTTTTGGTGAGAGATGAAGATGTAAATGAAAGATGGTTGAACTACTTCAACAAGCTATTTAATGGGAATGGAGATACAAGCGAGGTGGACTTGGAGGACGCATATGATGATATGAATAGAAGATTTGTGCGCAAAATTAATACACATGAAGTTAACGAGGCTTTAAAGAGGATGAAGACTAATAAAGCCATGGGGCCTGATGGTATCCCTATTGAAGTGTGGAGAGGCCTGGGGGATGTGGCAATAAAATGGTTGACCAATCTTTTCAATAAGATTCTCTAGACAAATAAGATGCCTGATGCATGGAGGAAAAGTATGATTGTGCCTATCTACAAAAACAAGGGAGATATACAGAGTTGTTCAAACTATAGAGGCATTAAGCTAATGAGTCATACTATGAAGTTGTGGAAAAGGGTTATTGAACATCGCTTGAGGAGAGATACCAAGGTTTCTGTAAATCAATTTGGATTTATGCCAGGAAGATGTACCATGGAAGCCATTTTCTTGTTGCGACAACTAATGGAAAGATACCAAGAAAAGAAGAAGGACTTACATATGGTGTTCATAGACCTTGAGAAAGCATACGATAGGGTTCCAATGAAAGTTTTATGGTGGGTTTTGGAGAAGAAAAAGGTTCCATCAAAGTATGTAAAGGCAATGAAGGATATGTATGATGGAGCTACTACATGTGTAAAAGCTTGTAACGGAACATCAAGTTATTTCCCTTTCACGGTAGGTGTACACCAAGAGTCGGCTCTAAGTCCTTATCCCTTTGCCTTAGTTATGGATGAACTAACAAAAGATATTCAAGAGAAAGTGCCATGGTGTATGCTTTTTGTAGACGATATTGTGCTTATTGATGAGAGCAAGGAAGGTGTTAATAGAAAACTTGAATTGTGGAGAAGCACATTCGAATCCAAAGGATTCACTTTAAGTCGAAGCAAGACTGAGTATCTGAAGTGTGAGTTTTCTCTAGTACGAGATGGGGACCAAGATCCCGTGCAACTAAGTGGTCAAGAGGTACCCAAAAAATATGTTTTTAAATACCTGGGCTCTATTTTGCAAAAAAGGTGGATAGATTAATGAGGATGTAAATCATAGAATTAGAGCAGGGTGGATGAAATGGTGCATTGCATCTGGATTTTTGTGTGACCGCAAAATCTCCCTTAAGTTAAAAGAAAAATTCTATAAAACAGCAGTAAGACCGGCAATGCTATATGGAGCGGAATGCTGGCCAGCACATAGGCAACATGAGCATAAGATGAGAGTAGCAGAGAGGCGGATGTTAAGGTGGATGTGTGGTTATACAAGGATGGATAAGATAAGAAATGAAGATATTCGACGAAAGATAGGAGTAGTACCGGTAGCCGAAAAGATGAGAGAACATAGATTGAGGTGGTTTGGGCACGTGATGAGAAGGTCCCTGGATGCTCCTGTCAGAACAGAAGTTTGTTATCAAGAGCTCAACACAAAAAGAGGCAGAGGTAGGCCGAAACTTACTTGGGAAAATGTAGTAAAATAAGACTTAATGGAGTGGGATATAGATTGGCAGACGGTATGTCTTAAAACGGAATGGAGAAAAGCTATAAGTATGGTGGAGGGTTAGACCCGTTGTTATTCCTATGTTCCAAATTGTCCTTTTTTAGTCCTTTTCCCCTTAATTTTCCCCACTTCTTCTTTTCCATTTCTTTTTTACTTTTATATATATATATATATATATATATATATATATATATATATATATATATATATATTAACTTCTCGTGTTTTTTTTACAACTGTTTTATATCTTTCATGTGGGTTCATCTACCACCGACCTCAATTATCTTGGAATAAAGGTGATGTTGATGTTGATGTTGTTGATGTTATGCTCTCAAAAGCAGAAGACAAAAAGTCATATTTAATCTCGAATCATTGATTTGTCATTTTAAATCATGAAGGAGTGAGATCTTAAGTAACTAATCTTAACAAAATGAGATATGAGATAATTCATTCTCGTTTGTTATATGTATTTTTTATGAGAAAAAGAGTGACAGAAAAAATGGCAGTTTCCTCTCCTTATTTAAAAAATATTTTGGAAAACCATGTATAGTGATAACATTGTTTGAACCAGTTTTGATAACATTCTACTACGGTCAATGAGAGTCCACAGAAAAGCAGGCGCAAAGATGAACTGGTTTTGGTGGGCCTGGCTTGGTTCTATTAAGTTGCTATAGCCAGTGACTCTTCTTATGGGCTGGAATAGAGCAGATTACTGATACTGGTGGGCTTGGTCCAATGTTATTCATACATCACAAAGATTTTCTTCGTTCTTTGTAAAAAATTATCTCAACTAAAAAATTTAAATTGTTAGGTAAAGGTCACATTAATGATGGAATAGTGAGGATTGAACTTGTAACCACTTAATTCACAAAGATTATGATACCATGTAAATAATGATATGTTAATCATTTTATATATTTATGTAACATTCTTTCACAATCATACTCAAAATGGGTTTGAAGATTTAGATTTTGTATTGTCACCCAAGTACAGCTGAACTATATAATAGGGTAAATAAGAACAAACCTGGAAACAGAGGCATTAAATGAAGTGATAACCGTCCTCTTGCTGTCATCTCTAATCAGGATGTTCAACAACATTGTTATATCAGAATACTATTAGGAGTCAGTATTCATATTATTAACCATCACAATATTTATCTTCCAATTTAACATTTATTAATGTCTAAAGTGGTCCAATGCCAATTTAATTTAACAGATAAAACTGATAATTTCTCCCCATGCTTAACAGTTTGTCTGTCTGGCACCACTTTTGACAAATTTGGGTAGAAGACAGTTGTTTTGCATTGCCAAAAGCTATCACTTTGGTTATTTTATAATAATAATAATAATAATACAAATTTAGCTATTTAGCTAAGTTCTACAAAAAGTACAACTATACTTTTATTGGACAGAGATTTGTACTGTCAGGTGTTACCTTTGTTAAAGTTTTTGCGTTTGATAATCCGTTTTGGTTGCAACATTTGATAATCTGTCAGGTGTTATTTTATATTTATGTTTCAGATCGTGAATAATAGATACTACATTTATAATCATGGTTGCAACATGTACCTTAAGACAATATCCTGAACACCATAGTATCAAAAGTAAAATTCCTTTAGGGGTATGCGACATATGATAATGCTACAGTCTGAATTGATTTGGCTTTCAAATTTATTCATTGATCATATAGGGACATGAAGAATTCAACCTGACAACCTGTAACCTTAATCAAACTTTATAATGGCACAAAAATAAGGTGCAAACCACCATATTGTATATTCCATTATAATTCAGAAAATGAATGCATTACACTCAATCAACCGCACATATATATATATCCCATACAAGTCTACTGTGAAGCCAAAGCAAGAACCTTGGAATGAGTACTTGCATCACCTATAGTTGACTTGTGGTGAAGGGAAAAAACGTTTAGCAAGCCACTGTAAGGGTCTAAGCAGTTGAGCCCTTTTCTTGCGCCAGAACCAAATGGCAGCATTGTATTGTTCATTGCGAATCTTACGCGTGGCAGCCTTCCAATCATACTTCTCCATCTCTTCACGTGCAGCTTTTCCCATGGTTTCTCTAAACTCTTTGTTGAGCAAAAGGGGTTCTATTTTACTCAAGCAGTCTTCAAGATCACCTGGATTATAGAGATAGCCAGTTTTACCTTCTTGGTCTGCAGGTATTATATCTGGAATGCCTCCAGCACGTGCTCCCACCACAGGTATCCCTGAAGACATGGCCTCCAAAACAACAAGACCAAGTGTCTCTGACTCTGAAGGCATCACAAAAACATCTCCACTGGCATATGCTTGCGATAGTTCTTCCCCTCCTAACATTCCAGTGAATACTGCAGGCATGCCTTCAAACAATTTCTCCAGCTCCTCCCTGGTTGTTAAGAAATTAAATGCATGGCATAACAGTTATCAAAGTTTTTATATTTAACATTGCCTTATCTAGAGAGAGAGGGGAGTAATGTATAAATAAAAAAGCATAAGTGGGCATGGGTCGACCCTAACTGGATTTTTTGGTTAAACCAAACGGGTTTAAACTAGTTTGTTTTTGAACTGAACTGTTTTTTTTATTATAAAATCAATTCAGAACCAGTTTATGTTTCAAAACTGGTTCGGGTATGCAAACATGTTCTAAACTGGTTTCCAACTAGTTCCAAACCGGTGTTTCAAACCAATTCTTTTGGTTCGGTTTAATTTTTGAACTGATTTATAAAACCATTTCGATTCTTAAAACTGGTTCCGAAAAATGTGTTTCAGTTCGGTTTGGTTCGGTTATACTGCACACCCCTGAAAAACATGACATGTGGACTAAAAACACTGGAGGATTTTTTGAAAATGTCAAGAACCAATTATCTCAAATGCTTAAGGTAATAAGTGAAGACAATGAATGATTGTACATTATATCTCTAACTGCACTACCTCCCCCAAACCCTCAAAAGAAAGGGATCTAATATGGAACGAGGAAACCCTTTTCATGGTGACAGTTAGCCATTATATGATTAGAAAGTGTAAAGAACCAATTCAACCCAAAAGCTTAAGCTATTGGGTGAGGCTACATTAATGATTTTTTATATATCAACACGCCCCCTCACATGAGAGCCCACTGGACTTGAAGGATGGACAATGCACAGGCCCACCTACCTGTGCGAAGAAAAAAATTCCACTAGAAAGAAAGTGGGGGGCGGTGAGGATCGAAGTCGGTACACCGAGGCTTTGATACTATGTAAAGAACCAATTTAACCCAAAAGCTTAAGCTATTGGGTGAGGCTACATTAATGATTTTTTATATATCAACAGAAAGGCAAGAGGTAAGAATATACAAACACTCACGTATAAAAGTCTATTTGTTAAAAGCCACAGGACACCAATTGAACAGAAATAAAAGCAGAGACATGTCAGAGTAAGGCACCTGTATGGTCCATCTCCAACGAAAGCAATTCGCGCTTCAGGAAGCCTATCCATGACCCTGCCAAATCATGGGGTTAAGGTGTCAAAGTCAGGCTACAGATATTTAAATTCCATGCAAGATAATGGTAAGATAAGAAGCATCAGAGAAAGCTAAGGGCATGTCAAAGTGAATTGCTAGAAAGTATATCTTGAAAAGGATTTAACAATCTTTCAGCTTATAGTCTGGATTTTTTCAGATTGATTGGGAAATCTTGAATATAATTGCAACTCCAAGAAAGGAAAAATTCAAGGTGAAGTTCACTACCTTTTGAGAAAATCTAAACTCTTTTCAACTCCAAGCCGTCCCACATGAACTACCAAGGGTTTCTCGGGTTCACCATTGCTGCATGACAAATGTTCTAAGAATAAGATGAAATCTCATTATTATCAAAACTTGAACCTATGAAAAATGATAAATGGTTCAAACCTTAGTCTTAATCGCATTTCATGTGAGCGGTATCGAGGATGGAAACTTTCAGAATCAACACCCTTGTTCCATAGACGAATCTTGTTAGCTGGATGTCAACATGAGAAACAAGTCTGTCAAAATTTTACTGCCGAAGGCATACTAAGAAATGTGTATGTTCAGATGCTATTTTCAGTTAAGCATAGCTGAAAGACTAGATAAGGGGATTTAAGTTCACCTGCTGTTACTCTAGCTGCTTGGAGATCCCTACCAATGGCAGCAGATGGCACCAGAGTCAGATCAGCTGCTCTATGAAGAAATTCTAAAGAAAACAGCAAAATTTATGTTACTCTCACAATTATTTTGAGTTCAAATTAGAAAAAGTAAGCAAGAAAGTGTACATACTTATGATCAACCACATGGGTGTCACCAGCCAGCTAAAGGTATATCTTGGAATGTAACTGAAGAGAAAATAAGATCAGCCATAATGGTAAACAGAAGTGCCACATAATCTAAAGTGGTCAATATATTTAGAAAAAACTAAAAAATCTGAATAAAACTTACACTGGTACGTGCGTATGATAGGACATGACAATAGGAATACATAAAAGTTTTGCAATGATAAGAGCGCCAAAAACCTGAAATCAAGGCAACTCAGATATGTAATGTGACAAATTAGTCCTCACACCAACATTATCCTTAATAATCCCAAAATTTAATGAATGAGGAGATAGAGGAATTGCAGACCCACCATTACACCTGGCGACGATGCATGTATTATGTCAGGCTTAAACCGGGCAACCTCTGAAATTATTCTTGGACTAAGTGCCAAAGAGAGGGGTACCTTTTGATACCAAGGACAGGGAAAGCTGCATTTTTAATTTGTTTTTGATATAAATGAAAATTGTTAGTGTAAACTATAAACCATGGTTGTGGTAGTTATTGGAAAATACATAAATACACTAACCAAATCTAGTAATTATGGAAATTAGGATATTTGTGTTCCTGTAATTATTACATTAGCTCTATATAATAAAGCCTCCACTGTGTAAGGAACACCAACGCTCCAGTTGTGCTGCTCCATTGTGCACAAGGGGTAACTCGTTTGCTTGTCTCTCCCAATCGTCATCTTTGGGTCCTTGGTTCTTAGATTCTGGTGCCACCACCACATTCGCAAAATAAATATTATATTCTCCAAAATTTCTACCTTTGGTTATTTGTCTACAGTCAAACTTAGCTAAAGGTTCCAAAACACAGTCCAATGGGGTTGGTATTGCCCATCCCCATTCTGTTGACTCTGCTTAATATTCTTAGCTTCCCCTTTAATTTGCTTTTCATTAGTGGTTTGACTCGTCCAATCTTCTTTGCAGTCAGTGTGGTAGCTGAGTTTCTCAATTCACCTTGCGAAGCATATTAAGATGCTATGATTTGTATCCCGAAGTATATTCAAGGAGCTTCAGGAGAAGTCCTATTCTATGAAGATAAAGGTCATACTCAAATTGCTCGATATTCAGATGTTGATTGGACAAAGTCCCTTGCTAATAGAAGGTCTACTTTTGGGTAATATGTATTTGTTGGGGATAATCTAATATCCTGAAAGAGTAAGAAGCAAAATGTGGTCTGCTAGATCAAGTGCAAAACAGAATATCAAGCTATGGCCATAACCACATGCAAACTCATTTGAACAAAATAGCTACTTAAAGAGATCCAATATAGGAAGATTATGCAAATGACCCTCATTTATGATAATCATGCTGCATTGCATATCCTCTCTAATCTAGTGTTTCACAAGAAGACCAAATATATTGAGATCGATTGTCACTTTATTAGAGAGAAAATATAATCCGAAGACGCCAACACTAGCTTGTCAATTCAAATATCAATTAGCCAAATATTTTCAACAAGTCTTTGAGAGGTCATCTGATAAGTCATATATGTAACAAGCTTAGTGCATATGCCCTATATGCTTCCGTTTGAGGGATGTTGGAAAATATGTAAATAGTGTAATCAAATCTTGTAACTACAGTAATTAGGATAGTTCTCATAATTATTACATTTACTCTATACAGTAGAGACTCCACTTTGTAATTCAAACAGGAATCTGATAGGGCCCATCTCCACAAGGCCCAATTTGGTAAAGTCTATGACAGGGACCATGATAAGAGCAAGTGGCCCAAGGATCCTGAACGTATATGACTCAACAAGTTTTTTAGTGCATTGGAGAAGTTTGTTACATAAGCATGTGGTGCGTGAATGAAGGCACCGAGGAGGTCATTCTGGTTTGCGCATGCAAAAGGGAGATACCAGGGCCTCTCGAAAGATCCTGAAGCATTTTACATTTCGTTATTTTTTCTTTATTTACTTCTGCAAATTCTAAGCTATAGCAGCACTATAGTGTGTAATCAGATTTGGTTTCTTGTTGAACATTGATGCTTTTACTGGAATACGTCTTAAATAGAAGCATTATTCAGAAAATTCCACTGTTTACTGTTTGATTCTTATCAAAGTGGTATCAAAGCTCCGACTGGGAGCAGGGTTATGGTACGTACGCGAACCATGGAGGGATTAGAAGAGAGATTACAACATACGGAATTGGGTCAGGATGAATTGATTAAGAGAATGGACGCGAGCGATACTAATCAGGCGGAGATCATGGAGATCATTAGGCAACTGCGGAGATCATTATGATACTTAAATAGAATTGATAAACAAAATCCTGAAGAAGGAAGAGGACGTGGCTATCCAGCTAACGTTGCAGAGTCTGATGGGGATTTCATCTAACCAATCCATGAAGGTATGGGGGCTGATTGATGGCCAAGGTGTTGAGGTTCTCATCGATTGTGGGGCCTCGAGCAATTTTGTTAAGCAAGGGTTGGTTGACCATTTAGGTCTGTCAGTGGAAACGACCCCCACATACTCTGTTGAGATCGGGAATGGGCTCAAGTTAGCATGTCAAGGGGTTTGTAGAGGAGTTTCTATTGCAATTCAGGGGAGCACCATTGTTCAAGATCTGTACCTATTTGATTTGGGAGGGGCAGATGTGGTGTTAGGGCTGGATTGGCTCAAGGAATTGGGAGAAATAAAAGCGAATTTTAGAGAGATGACTATCAAGTATGTCTCGGAAGGTCACAAAGCGACTATTAAAGGAGACCCTTCACTCTCTAAAACCATCTCTTCCCTTAAATCGATGGCTAAGGCACTGGAACAGGAGGGTCAAGGTTACTTTGTGCAGTGGGAAAGTTCAGCAACTTCTCAGAAATTCCAGGAAGATTGGAAGGAGCTTGATGATTTGCTAGCCGAATTTGGTGACATTTTCGCTGAAGCCAAAGGCTTTCCTCCAAAGAGAAGTCAGGATCATGCCAATGTTTTGAAACCGGGTGCTCAGGTACCCAACAGTAGGCCCTACAGGTACCCCTTTTATCAAAAATCTGAGATTGAGAAGTTAGTTGCAGAATTATTAAGTGATGGTATGATTAGGCCAAGTGTGAGCCCTTATTCAAGCCCTGTTATATTAGTAAAAAAAAAGATGGGAGTTGGAGAGTATGTGTTGATTATAGGGCTTTGAACAAGATCACTGTCCCTGATAAGTTTCCCCTTCCAGTGGTGGATGAATTACTGGATGAAGTAGGAGGGTCAAGGGTGTTTAGTAAGCTGGACCTGAAGTCCGGATTTAATCAGATTCGTATGAAGGAGGGGGACATTCCTAAAACGGCATTCCGGACTCATGAGGGGCATTACGAATATTTAGTAATTCCATTTGGTCTTACTAATGCCCCTTCTACATTCCAAGCCCTTATGAATGATGTTCTGAAACCTTATCTGAGAAAATTTGCTCTAGTTTTTTTTTGACGATATATTGGTTTATAGCAAGGGGGCAGCTGAGCATGTGGGTCACTTGAGAAAAATATTTGAAATTCTACGTACCCATAAATTGTTTGCAAACAGGAAGAAATGCGATTTTGGACAGATGCAGGTGGAGTATTTGGGGCATATAGTTACTGCAGAGGGAGTCAAGGCTGATCCTATTAAGATCAAGGCCATGGAAGAATGGCCAATTCCAAGGAACGTTAAGGGGTTGAGAGGCTTCTTGGGTTTAACAGGTTATTATAGAAAATTTGTCAAGGATTATGGCAAGATAGCCTGACCACTAACTGACTTGTTAAAAAAGGATGCCTTCAAATGGGGAGAGGATGCACAGGTTGCGTTTGTTCACTTAAAAAATTTAATGAGTGCTGTTCCGGTTTCGGCTTTACCGGATTTCTCCAAGCCTTTCGTGGTGGTTACTGATGCTTCTGGAAAAGGCATTGGAGCTGTATTAATGCCAGAAGGCAGACCCCTAGCTTATATTAGTAGGGGATTTTCACAACGGGCCATGGGGAAATCCGTTTATGAAAAGGAACTAATGGCTGTTGTGTTTGCGGTCCAGAAATGGAGACCATACTTGTTGGACGACATTTCATAGTTAAAACCGATCAAAAGAGCCTCAAGTTTTTGTTGGAGCAGCGGGTTCTAGGTGAGGACCAACAAAAATGGGTTTCCAAATTATTGGGTTATGACTTTGAGATTCTTTATCAACTTGGTAGAGGAAATGTTGTCGCGGATGCCTTGTCTCGAAACGAAGAGTTTCATCTTCTCTCCAAGGCGCAGCTTCCCCAGTTGGAAGAAATTGATAGGGAAGTGCTGGCTAATCAGAGGCTTCGAAGTATAATTCAGAACTTAATAGAGGATCCAGCCTCTCATCCGGGTTTTCAGTTACAGGGGGGACGCCTTTTCTACAAAAACAGGTTAGTATTATCCAGATCTTCTAGATTCATCTCCTCCATTCTGTCCGAGTTCCATGATTCTTGTATTGGTGGGCATTCTGGTTTCTCCAGAACCTTTAAGCGAATGGTTGGAGTTGTTTTTTGGGAAGGTATGCGTAAAACCGTGCAGCAATATGTCTTGGATTGTGCCATTTGTCAGCAAAATAATATTCAGAACTTGTCCCCTGCTGGTTTGCTCCAACCTTTACCAATACCGTCCCAGATTTGGACAGATGTGTCCATGGACTTCATTGGGGGTTCACCTAAAGCTCATGGTGTTGATACTATTTTTGTTGTGGTGGACCGGCTCACTAAGTATGCTCACTTCCTTCCTTTGGCTCATCCTTATTCTGCCAAGGAAGTGGCTGAACTGTTTGTGAGGGAGTAGTCCGGCTGCATGGGTTCCCTACTACCATCGTATCTGATAGAGACCGGTTGTTTCAAAGCCATTTCTGGTCAGAAATGTTTAAATGTGCAGGAACCAAACTTCATTTCACTACTGCTTACCATCCACAGTCCAATGGACAATCAGAAGTGGTGAATAGAAGCCTAGAAACATATTTACGGTGTTTTTGTAGTCCCAAACCCCGTACTTGGCCGAAGTGGTTGCATTGGGCAGAGTATTGGTACAACACCGCCTACAAGAGTTCAACGGGGATGACCCCGTTTAGAGCACTATATGGAGTTGATCCTCCTAGTCTGCTGCGGGTTGGAAACAGCTTCCCAACAGTGGATGCGGTTTCTCAATTATTGGTTGAAAGGGAAATTATCTTAGATGAGTTCAAAGAGAATTTACAAAAGGCTCAGGAGCGTACGAAGACTCAGGCTGATAAAAAAAGGAGGGATGTGCATTTTGAGGTGGGGAATTCTGTTTATTTGCGTCTACAGCCGTATCGGTTGAAATCTTTGGCATCAAAAGTTAATGAGAAATTAAGTCCCCGTTATTATGGTCCGTTTGAGGTGTTGGCAAGGATTGGTGACACTGCTTATAAGTTGGTTCTTCCATCTTCTAGTAAAATTCACCCGGTTTTTCATGTTTCACTGCTCAAAAGAGCAGGGAGTCCTGTTACTAATGTTCAGCCTCTTCCTTCTGCCTTGTCTGAAGGGTGGGAACTAATAGTAGAGCCAGAACAAGTGCTACAATGGCGAAGGGACCACAAGGGCATACTGCAAGTCCTTATTCAGTGGCACGATCTTCCTTCCTTCGAGAATTCTTGGGAAAATTTTGAGGCTATGCAAGTACAATTTCCTGATTTCCACCTTGAGGACAAGGTGCTTTCATTGGGGGAAAGTATTGATAGGGCCCATCTCCACAAGGCCCAATTTGGTAAAGTCTATGTCAGGGACCATGATAGGAGCAAGTGGCCCAAGGACCCTGAACGTATATGACTCAGCAAGTCTGGACGTCTATGACTCAATGACTCAGCAAGTTTGTTAGTGCATTGGAGAAGTTTGTTACATAAGCATGTGGTGCGTGAATGAAGGCACCGAGGAGGTCATTCTGGTTTGCGCATGCAAAAGGGAGATACCAGGGCCTCTCGAAAGATCCTGAAGCATTTTACATTTCGTTATTTTTTCTTTATTTACTTCTGCAAATTCTGAGCTATAGCAGCACTATAGTGTGTAATCAGATTTGGTTTCTTGTTGAACATTGATGTTTTTACTGGAATACGTCTTAAATAGAAGCATTATTCAGAAAATTCCACTGTTTACTGTTTGATTCTTATCAGAATCATACGCCTTCACAGCAGTAATCATACCTTTAAAGAGCATTTGAAACCGGGCAGATTCCATATTGATACCAAAATTTCAAAATTCATAACAAGATGATAATAGGAATGCCATAACCACTTATTAGTGAAATTTAAAATTAAGTGCACAACATTTATCAGCATAATGTGAGGTAAGAGAATGAGAGTTGACAAATATATGCCCTAAATGCAATTAAGAAACAAGAATTAAGCCCATCATGACTGAAAGACACCAAGTTTATAATTCAAAAAACACAAATTTAGAATTACTAGAGAGAAAAGGGATGATGAAGAGATAAATGAGCTAAGAAACTAAAACAGATCAGTGTTAGCAACCTCCAAGATCCAATTAATTTGGCTCCATGAAATTCCTGGGGAACTCCTTCATGCGTGGTCACAACCATCACCTATAACACACAAATAAACACAGTTACATAGTATGCAATAAATTCAGGATGACTATTGAAACAAAATATTTATGGGGCAAAAGCTATTTATTCCAGATTTTCTCAGAATTTTTGGGGATACATTACAAAAGCAAGGAATTTAAACGAAAATAAACATACATACATAGAAAACCAAAGAATTACCTCATCTCCCATTTCACGAAGGCATTTAATAAAATTCTGAAACCGATTTTTGTATCCTGAGACATATCTGCAAAATAGATATCACTTTGAATAAATATTCTGTTGAAAATGAAGACACATTTTTTCTTACACAGCTAACACCACATGTCTACTTCTGAAGAATCACACATGAAAAATGTCAATTGTAGTTCAATCTCGTTTGTATTCTAATGTAGACAGAAACTAGAAAACTTGGTACATTAAATGTTGGTCGACGTTCCTAAAATTAATGCCTGGTATCACAAGCTAATTCAAAAGTCTGAGATGCAGCATAACACAATAGCTAAGATGCAACTTTTCTCATTGTGAGACTACGCTAATAATAGAATGAATATCGAAAACCAAAACAGATAATCACAAAGTCAGCTCAATTCATTTGATAACGAAAATTTTAATTTCAACAACTGCCAATTAAATCCAACTTTATATGCAATGCAAAGGAAGAACAGAATAGCAACGGTGTTAAGAAACAAAAAAGCTGAAAAATTGTTTCTCTATTTTTGCAACAACTAATCGTAGAAAAACTGTATGTGATCAACATATTCCTAAGCAAATATAAATTCAGATGAACCAAAGGTTGAACTTTGACAGCTTAATGAAGCAGATGAAAAGTCTATGACATTTGACATAAAACTACACGCCAACTCAGTCAATTCATCAAATGCCACGAAGTCAACGCTAAAACCAAACCAACAAGGCAATTCAATTGCTGCAATAATTGAAAAGCAAAACAAGCCGAAAAAATTGTAATGGGGGTTTCAATATCAAACACCCCAAATTAAACAAAGCATTGGATACTATGCACAATGAAAAGCAAATCAAGAAGCTAAACAAAAAAACACCAACAAAAGGGACTCACGCAAAGGGAGAAGGCTCAACAAAGAGAGCAATTCGACGAGGCCTTGAATTTTGCTCATTCTCAGAGTCAAGCAAAGCAGCAGAAGGAGGACCATCTTCCTCTTCCTCCATTTCATGAGAACCAACCTCTGCTATGTCCATGTTTCTAGCTTCAAGCACCAAACTTTTTCTACCCTTCACAGTTTTTGACCCACCCAAAGAGCTCAATCGTACTCCTCTACAAGATAGAGTAATGGGTTTTGCTCCTAACAATAAAAAACGTTGAAATCTAGCAGAGCTAGGGGGGTAAGAAGAAGGTGTGGTGGCAGTTGGAAAAAAGGTAGGAGATAGAGAGGGATTTATAGAGAGAGAAGTAGTATTCATGACGATAATTGTTAAAGATGCTGTCTTTGAGAGTCTAAGATCTAAAAGGAACAACCTTTGAATTGGGATAGAATCAAAATCGTACAGTGGTAGTTGTGTCGGGAAGAGAGAGAGATAAAGAGAATCCAACAAAGTTGGAAAGGATTCTAAGAATGGATATCATTTATGCTGGCGGGACTGTAAGGAATCAAAACGGAAGTTACGTGCGTATGCAGCAATTACAAACAACACTTTCTTCTTTTCTTTTCTTTTTTTCTTCTTGTTTTTTTTTTTCTTCTTCTTTGGGCTGTTTCTTTTCCCATATACGTTTTCTTAATCAAGAAACTATTCATTGACTATTGAAAAATCCATAACCAGATTTTCCCCTCTTGTGTAGTCTGCTTTGCTCGTTGTTACTGAAGTATATAAATGATGTATCTTCACTTAATAAAATTTTGGGAGTTATTAATTTTATGTCAGATAACATAAGTATCTTATACGAGTGAAACAAAATTGTGCGGTCCAAAATTTTTAAAATAACAAAAAAAGGAAAGAAAATATGGGCACAAGATTTTCTAAATGTGTAACATAAGAAAATTCTCTTATGTGACATAAAACAACTATTTTCCTAAAATTTTATGGTTGAATTGATTTTTTATATGCTATTAAAATTCGGTATTATGGGTTTGATTCTTATCGCTTCTATTTTTTTTTATAGAATTTCTTAGCACAAATAGGTAGAATCCACCCTTCATGACTAGTGAATTCTCGTGTGAGGAGACATGTTAGAGAAATATATAAACCATTGATGAATCTTCACACTTAATAACTTAATATTTTGGGTTAAGTTGATTCTTTACACTAGGTATTCCTTATAGTGAGCAAATTCTAAGTATAGAAATATTTTTTAGTGAGGACTCAAAATCATTAGACATCTGCATGTCCTTAAGCTTTAAGGGGGCGTTTGGTTGAGGAAATTTTTTTGGAATAGTAGGGAAATGTAATAGATAGAGAAATGATTGGAAAGATAGATAAAATGAGATAGGTAGAAAAATGTAAAAAAAAGTTGTTTGGTGGGGAAAAACTTTACTGGGAAAATTAGGTAACTTTTTAGGAAATGTATGTTTGGTTGGAGGTAAGTTATAGATGGGAAAATAATATTAAATTACAAAAATACCCCTGATTGAAAATAGCTTTTAATACTTCGGTGGCATGGGACCCACAGCTGTCAAATCCCAACACCCCCTGACTCTATCCAGCGACCATAAAGAAGAAAGGGGGAAAAATATCTGTGTCTGGGCTTGTTCATCGTCAAGGGTTCCGCTCTGCAAGCAAGGTGGACGTCGAGGCCGTGTGATTACAGTGAGATTAAATACTCCACTGAGATGGCATGAGCAACCAGTCGATGTTAGTGAGGAGAACCGACCTTGGAGCGTTACGAAAGAAAGCGGATGATAGATGAGAAACATGGCTGTATAAAAATTGCTCCACCATCGCAAGAGGTATGGTCATCGCTCTTTGAACTAATTTGTTATGGGTATCATCGTTGTTGTGGTCCAAAAATTGGTGTTCAATGAATGTATAGAAGAACCGTTATAAGTGATGTTTGTGTTCAACTCATACGAAGAAGCATTCACATTTCCCCTTCTGATTGGCGAGAAATATAGTTGTCAGCCATGGTACCTGGTGTTTATGGAGCTAAATGACTCAATTAAGCTCCCTGCAAATACGTTTTCCACACATTCATATCTTTAAATTAACTATGTCATAATTTATAAACACACACAAACACGTAACACTATAATCATATAAAAAATGGTCAGAACATAAGAAGTTAGGAATGAGTTTGTTCGATTAAACTATTCTTATGTTGAAAATAACTTAACAAATAAATAATAATGAAATTTTAATTTATTAGTGTATGTTGTTATGAACCTGTTGTTGAAATGTTATTGTTGGAAAGTGTTTCTTTTAAACAGTTTTGGTTCATAGTATAGAAATATTAATTGGTTTGTTGCTTGTAAGTTTAACCGAACCCGTGTTCTGTCTCCTTCTTCGTACCGCAGTAACCAAAAATTGTTTGTGAGTGGTGGGAGGAGTCTTGCAACAGAGTACTGTTTGACCATTGACGGAAGAATGGGTGGAAGTGGATCCGGCATAGGCGGAGGTGAAAGCCTAATTTCCAGGCATTCAGCGTCCTCGTCCTCTTACAGGGTGAAGATGTGCTATTGCGGAGTGCCGACTGCGTTGCGCATGTCAAATACACAGAGGAATCCGGGCCGACAGTTTCTTCGATGTGCTAATTTCAGGACTCAGCATGATTGCCACTTTTTTGAGTGGTTTGATGAACCAAGTTGTCGTAATTGTCTGATAGTGGAGAAATGTATGAAACAACAGAATGTTTTGCTAATTGTAATTGTTATAACATTTGGGATCATCATGACCACAATGTTGATCTTCCATTGACTTGTATTGTAATGTTTTAGGGTTTAGGGTTGTTGTATATAGTTGTACTAATGTTGTGTGGATCTGTAATTTAGGGTAACCGTCGACCATGATGGCCTTGACGTACCATTTCATCTTATGGGACTGATATGTACTTTTTGTGGTATTCACATAACTATTGTATGAAATTTGTTTGTTTGCCATTCGCTGTGGTTGTCAATGTGAAGAAATGATGATGTTGTTATGTGTGTCTATGCATATATGAATATGATATTTATTGAGATTAAGTTCTGATTTCATTATTTCATATAAAATGAACAAATAAAGCTTTTTCTCTCTTTTTCTTTGCTGCTTTTAATTCATGCACAGGCTGTTGGTGATCGACAAGGGAAGTTCTGGCGTGCACAAGCAGGAAAAGGAACTATAACGATACACAAGTTTTTACAAAGGGCAGCTATAGCTCATGATTTTATATGGACAGACAGAGAGGTGACTGATATGATTCGCTACTTTGATAGTCATGGAGATGGAGAGGTAATTGGACGGCAGTATTTACAGGAAACAGTTGGAGTGGATTCTTTTGAACAATTTTACTATACATGCATATCCACCAGAGGTGAGGAGTTGATTATCTGCTTCAGGTGTTATTTATGACAGAGTTCTATTCCTGTGAAGAATGCATGAAAACTTGTGATTGTTTTCTTTTTAAAGTTTGGTGAAGAGGCAAATAAAATCTTTTAAAATCTGGCCTTTGTTTATGTTCCTTTTTTGATTAATAACTTTTTTAATGTTCTGACTGTTGATCAAAATGAGTGTATATTAATGAAGTATAATAATTAAATGACATAAGCATTTTCTATGTCAAAGTGTGTTTATATCTTGGAATGTTTAAAGGCTTCGAATAGATGAACTTATAAACTTCATTTTCTTTTTTCTTCCTTGGACTGTTCTTTTGAGGTATTGACCGAGGTGCATGACCAATTTTCAGCTGGAATGCAGGTTTGTGACTTTCATTATGCTTGACATTTTGTTGTAAACTTTGGATCAAGCATGTATGCTCCAGGTTACCTTGAATGTCAAGCAACATCATGGATCACATGATCCTTTGCATATATCTAAGATATCCATTTAATGAAAATTGAAATAATGGTGTATGAGACCACTGTTAGAAATATAATTCACTATCTGTAGACCTGAACACAATGTGATTTTTTTGTTAGTGAATAGCTTAAAATGTAATAAGCTGTTTGAATCCCACTCTAGGTTTTTGCTATTTGTTTTTGTCATTCAGTTGCATACATCTCTAGATTACCTGGTATCCTATGAAGTGTTAGGTTTTCTCTGCTTTTGAGTGATCTAGTGACTGCTTCACATAAGTGCAGTCAAATAGGTTGGTTTATGTCTGTGCCCCATTGTGCATTAATTAATGCGGCCACACCTATGCCTGTGTCTGTTGATCCACCAGTCATTACGTCAAACTGCACTCCCTCAGTAGCTAATGGTTCTAACCAACCAAGTAATTCACATCATGCTTCAATTACTAGTGTTCTGTATTGAGACCTCAAACCCATAACCTAAATCAGATATTTGATAACCTTTGTCAACCAAAGGCTCATTCAATGATTAAAACAAGTGTCACTGGTCAACGAGAGAACACAGATGTGGAGACTGAAGCTGGAGTAATACCTGTAAATCTCGATTCCTCTATGCTACAGCGTTCTGTTTCATATGGAGAAAACAATTGTTATGAGGACATGTTAATCCTACTATCATTCCATCAAGTACCGTAAATATGCCTAAATTGAAAACAGATGGAGGCCAAATTCTTGAACAGAGCCAGACTTCTGTTAGCACTTCCCTAATTCGAGGAATCCCAATACATAGCAGGATGGGTAATCTTATAGTGATGTTATTGATTATCTGCTCGGTTTCAAACCTTCCCAAAGTATCCAATGCTGATTTTTCTGGAACACAAAAAAGTTGGGTTTGGACTTCAAAATGATAATTCAACTAAAGGTGGGACTTATTCTCTGCCTGATTTGACTAGTCAATCATTTTCCACACATATTTTCATCAGGTAATTCTGTATGTGTGTGTTTTGATTATCCTCTCAGGTTCTTAATTTAATCTGTCAAATAATTTTAATTCTGTAGGTGCTACCAATGACAAACAACCATAGTCAAATGCAGAGATAGTTCAGTATTCTCAATGGGGTCGCAATAGGAAGGGTCCTGCAACCAGCTGCAGAGGAAGACTAACACTGCAAAGTAACAAAATTTTTGTACCTGATAGCTTGCAGATGTTGGGGAATTATAATGTAGAATCTGAAGGCAAGACTTGTTGGGGAATAATGAAGCATCTCCACGTTGTGAGGATGGTGGAAGAGGATCTTAATAGCTGTGTCATTCATGGAAGTAGTAGGATCTGATAAGTTTATACATAGGGCTGAATGTGTCCATCAAGAGTTTTGTGCTGTATATGAATTTCGTTGTGTACTTTGTTCATAGTCATGTACAATTCCCATGTGTAACTTATGAAGCATGTAAATACTTTTCTGTGATGAATGTTTTATGAAGCAATTGCGGTGTTCATTATATTCAATAATTAATTAAGTCATGACAATGTCATTTTTTTATAAGATTGTCAATATTCGTGCCTTCCATAAGAGGATTAACCGCACCACAAACATGATCTTTTCAGAAATTAACACCAGAACTTTGTTGAACAAGGTTAAGAAATGACCTCATATTATATAAAACAAGAGTATCAGAACCGAGTACAAGGAAAAGTGGGGCTTATACAAGCAACATTAGGTAATAATTGGTAGCTCCTATGTTCCCACATATGTTTGCCTTGACAGTTACAAATGGTTCCATTACATCAATGAAGAATACATATAAATTGCATTTCGTGCTTTCAATCCATGTAAGCTTCTATCTTTGCTGCCATTTCTTATCATGGACTCCGATAACAGTTGCAAAACAGTAGGAGTTGGCCTTGACAGCAATATGATTGAACCAGCATTGTAGCACTACGTCACTAGTCAAATAAAAAAATAATTAGTTGCAATCCATGTACCAATATGATTTAAAACATTATGACAACAAGTTGTGCTGCAAGCGTGAAACTATTTAATGAAATTATCTGTGAATCAGTTTTCCATTTGTGACAACTTACCATCACTTTCAGTAACATTACTATTTAACAATGGATCTGGAGATATTTCACAAAAAAGTATCCACCATTCAATACCAGATTCACTATAATAAAAGCTTCTGACCTGCATAATAATACGTCAGTAATGAAAACATGTCTCCATTTAAGTCATACACTGTGAGAATTAATAAACACACAAATCTGAAGATTGATTAGCAGATTATGAACATAAAGCATAACAGTATAAAAAAGATAGTTCAGTATTAACTCCTAAGCTGCTTCCAATTACAAATAGCATACCTTTTGCAAAGACCCTTTGTTGGTAACAGATAACTTGTTATATAAATTCCCCTTTCCAGGCATACAAAATCTTACCGAAAGGTACATGGTTGACACTAACACAGCATTCATGTTCTGCCATTTATCTTCCAAATCCCAACGTTCATGTGATTCTCTAATTGAAAGTTGAAGCTTGTCCCAAAACCACACCTAAACCATACCAAAAGGAACCATACTATGTGAAGCTATATACACAAACCCTGCAAAAAACACTTTGCTGCCATATGTTTATAGAGAATTAGACAACATATCAGCCAGGAGACACTTCCTTTGCTGATCATTGCATTGCATGAAGACATCTGTCAAAGTTGTATCCTTTCCCAACTACACAGCAAGTTTAACCATCTATGAATCAGTCAGATCTCCAATTTTTTCCAGCTCTTCCATAATTGACATCCGCCTTTTACTCCCATTAGCTTGATGCTGAAAGCATGCAACTAGCTTGTCAATACCCTCACGGTAGTTTTGATTTATATCTCTCATTACATCAACTATTGGAGCAACCAATGGATCTTCGGGTCTGTCACGTTTCTTTCCCTTTTTTGCAGTAGCAGTAGACACATCTGAGGGCGGCACAATTTCTTCAATTGGGACATCCGGTATCACTGGATCTGCTAATGGTGTGGGTATGTAGTCCTCCGTGACGTCTATATATTCGTCAGATACATTCACATTCTCTGCATTGCATGCCGCATTTGACTCCATGACATTGACAGATTGTCCCATTGTCTCTGCATTACCTCCGGTTGCTGCATCCTTGCCAAATATGGTTCCCAAAATATCATAGTGGGGGAAAGGCTTGTTGTAAAGGCCCTTTGCAGTAGGGTGAGACTGTGGATAAACAGCAAAGTGAAACACTGAATACAAAAACAAAAAATTACAATTTACTTTGTTCATAATTAAACAGATAACTTCAAACACTTTCACCTTAACCCAGTCATCAAATATGTCCTTCTCGACATCAATCATTTTCTTCGAGTCGTTCCAACCGAAGCCACTCCCACCAGGACCTCCGGTCATTTCGTAAATGGCATTGTACTGTTTTTTCAACAATTTGACCCTGGAGGTGATGTGAGGGATGGCTTTAAGTGAACAATCAGGTATCTTGAGGTGCATCATCTTCTCAATTGCATTAGAGAAACCTTGTTTGAACCCGTTCTCACCTCTCCAAAGATGTGCAATTTCAGTCATACATTCGACCAGGATCTTATCTTCATCGACAGTCCAAGTGTGATTACGTTTGTTTCTGAAACTCTGGCTTTCCTCGGTCATAATTTCCAGTTACAAGATTGCACCTGCGACAATCAGTATCAAAATCAGTACACTTACTATTGGAGCAATTGTTTTCTCCCATAAAACTAACACGATTTAAATAGGTAACAGTGCAATTGCATAAACACCCGTTAACATAAACAAACGAAAATTCAATAAGTAGAGTACAGGTTCAAAATGTTTGTCAAAGTATTTCATATTACAGCATAAACGCAAATAGCTTCAAGTGTACATAACATGATTGACAATGGAAACAAAAACAAATAGCTAAATCATTTGTTCATCTCTGTTGAAATTCAAACACGATTCCTCCATGCGTTAAACATGTTCTGTGCCATTTCATCCCTGCGCAGTGTCCATGCATTAGACGACTCAACATGAGTGATCAAATCAACTCCTCCCAAGTTATCTTCAACATGTTGCATTTCAACTTCTTCAGCGTCCAATGGGTCCACTGTCATCTCTCTCCGTATATGGTTATGAAGCAAGCAACATGCACTAATAATCCTGCATTGAGTTTTAACAGGATAAAATGACTTGGATCGGACAATAGCCCAACGCCCCTTAAGCATCCCGAAGCAACGTTCAATCACATTCCTTGCAGATGAATGTTTCATATTAAAAAATTCTTGGGCTGTCCTTGGTTGGACACCGTGCCTCCATTCACTCAGATGATATCGTTGTCCTCTATATGGCGTAAGGAAACCTTCCCCATTCATGTAACCAGCATCACCTAGGTAATAGTATCCTACATCACAAATTACAGTTAACTTATATTAAAACATGTAACGTAGTAAGTAAAAAAACTGAACAATATTAAATGATCAACCACAGAGTCATATTGCATACCTTTAGGAACCTTCAAACCGTCTGGACGACTTATGGCATCTCTTAGAACCCTAGAATCTGCAGCTGATCCTTCCCAACCAGGCAAGACGAAAATAAACTGACCATCTTGAGAACAAACCCCTAAAAAATTAGTTGCTATCTCACCCTTTCTAGTCCGGTATCTAGCCTTATCCGCTTGTAAAGGGTTAATCTTTATGTGTGTCCCATCAAGTGCTCCCAAACAATTCTGTAATTCAATTTAGACTATTAGTAACACAAACACATGCTTGGTAACTGAAATGTATTGCATGAATTATACTAGTACGTGAACTATTAACTTACCTTGAACCACTTCCACTTATCATCGGTTGAGTTTTCCGGGATTGGCTCAGGTCGTTTCAAAAGAACATTATGACAACGCAACACTGAAAGCAAAACATTAGAGAACTGTCTACTAATGGTTTCTCCCGATCTCATGAATTGTCTTTTAATTATCCTGTTCTTCACATCGTGAGCTAATATGTGAAGAAAAATAGCAACCATCTCCTCTACACCCATATGGCTCGTTGGTTGAAGTTGACCAACAGTTTTAAGCAATGCACACAAGTTATGAAAACACCTCCTGTCCATCCGTGTATTCTCTATACACGCCGTGTCACTAATGTGAACAATCCTAAGGAAGTTTACTTCCCTTACTCTAGCCCTCCCACGTTCGTCCAATGCGACTCTCCTGCGTCTATTTCTCCGGTTTTCAGCAACGCGTAACAAGACAACACATATACTGACAAACATGTTAGTCAGTTGATGCAAAGACTCCAAATGAGTAATGAGTACGAGTATGACACTAAACTCCATTCCATTGTCGATGGCCATTATCTAACACGTGAAGGACAAAAAGATTCAGATAAGTAATGACCAAAAAAATTAAATATAATACTCATCGTATTGAAGATAATAAACATTGAGTAATATGGAAAACATAACCTCTCACCGACCTCATTCTTAACAAATTGGATTCCTTTTACATCAAAATGAGAGATTAAGTTTATGTATAATATGAACATAATAAACTTTTTGCGTAAACATAACTGGGCCATATTAAGGATGTGATGCTTTTGGATGGAACAATCCCAACTTCATTCTGATTCCTCAAGTCCTATCCTATTCTTAGGCTTTCAGTTCTTAGCTCGTAAACACTAGGAACATTGCATACTTTCAGTTCTTATTCTGTTTTCTTCGAAAAAATTGTTAACATAAACAATTATGACTTCCATTAAGCATTCTGTGAAATGCACTGTACAAAAAAGTAGTTTAATTGTTTCCAGCTGCCAAACGGCCTATCCTACAACAGCTAGGTGCCACATTGATCAGATGGAAAACAACATAATCTATCAGATGCAAGCAATATCCTTTTTAAAAAATGGAATTGAATAAGTAGAATCTGTTCATTAACCGTTTGGAATTTCCTTCTTATAATGGAAATCATTTTAATTTTATGCAACAGAGTCCACTCAATAGCATAATCATGATACACAAAATATTGAACCGAACATAAAGATCATATAATAACTAACTTTTTTCATATAAATATTTAAAAATTGTTACGAAGGGGAATATTTAGATGGAAGTAAGGTGTCGAGGGGAGGTAACATTTGAGGAATTAGGTACTTAGTTTGCCTATTTAATGACACTAGCATTGTCTGGTCATTATAAATTTATAGTGATGCTTACTTAGACCTAAATGAGGTTAAGATTAATGTATAGAGGTTTCACAATGAATAAGAATTTAACCCACTTTTGCTCAAACAGAGGCTATAGGCAGATGAAAGAGGGATGGATATTGCCATTTGCTCTGATTTGGTTAGAAAGTACTTGGGGAGAGTTGTGCTTAGTGGGGATAACTATTTTGCAGGTTTGAATTCAACAGTTTTTAGTGATGGATCCTTTTGTTACATTCCTAAGGATACTAAGTGCCCTATGCAGATTTCAACTTACTTTAGGATCAATGCTTTGGAGACTGGCCCTTTTGAGAGGACCTTGATTGTTGCAGATGATATTTGTTTTGTGGAGTATTTGGAGGGATGTACTACACCTTCTTATGATAGGAACCAACTTCATGCTGCTGTTGTGGAATTGTATTGTTCTGAAGATGCAGAAATTAAATACTCCACTGTACAGAACTGGTATGCTGGGGATGAGGATGGGAATGGAGGGATATACAATTTTGTCACAAAGAGAGGACTTTGTGCTGGGGCACACTCTAATATATCATGGACACAAGTGGAAACAGGATCAGCTATTACTTGGAAATATCCCAGTGTTGTTTTGGACGGAGATGCTACTGTTGAGGTAATTTATTCGGTTGCTTTGACTAACAACTATCAACAAGCGGATACAGGTACAAAAATGATTCACAAGGGAAAGAACACAAAGAGTAGGATTATCTCCAAGGATATATAAGTTGGAGACTGAAACCAACCCAATTAATTTTTCTCTGAACTTAAAAAATATCAACTTCAATTACTAAAAATCCATGCAATTTGAACATAAAAAGCCTCCCTCCAAATAAGCCTCCATGCTCCCCACTAACTTAATGCTATGATCTTAAGGCCTCATAGATGATGACTTCACAAAGGAAAGTAAAGAGTGGGGTTCCAAAAACAAGTCAGAAAATTAAAAGTAAAATCCAGTGCATATATGCTGCGAGATTAATCAGCACTAAGGTGCCACTGTTCTTTCTGTCCTTATCTTTGAGGCAGTGAGTAACATTAAAGCTTTGATGCTAAAAGATCTAATAAAACGTGATTGTACCATTTCATTTATAATCGTGACTGCACATAACTTCCAACAGGTTACCTCATTAACTACATTTTGTCACCACACAACACTTTTTCAATCTCCAATCTGTGTGCAACTTAAGCTCCAGACCTAAACACTAATTCACCTTTACTATACATACACAGTCAGAGAAGCACACATACAAACTGACAATTCCTACAACAGACAATATTACAATTCTTTGCTGCAGGCAATCAAATCAAAGGCACAGAATGCTAGAAACTCCTCTCAGTGTAACTCAATGCTTATTGGTGATAAAGCAGCTGCCAATACATATCCTCACATCCAGGTAAGTTCTTTCTTTTGTATTTATTTAATAAATTTTTCCTCTGCAAAAATTTGAGATTTCTGTTTATGCTTGTTTCAGTATGTGACAGTGTTAATAATTTTGGTATATATGTTGTTAAATAAGTTTGAGCCTTGATAATAACCTGGTACCTAGCACAATAAAATACAGGGAGAGGACAAATAAGTGAGCTCGTGAGAGAAAGATTGTAACCGGAATTCTGTAGTCCACGAATTTCAAGGAAACCAAGAACACTTACTTTTCATGCTTAAACTAGACCGTGGGAAGTAAAGACTGCTTCCCTAACACACAGGTTGAAACGCTCAAAACCCACCCAATCCCACAACGTTTGTCTTTATCGAATAACAAAAATGCAAAAAAAAGAGGTCATCATCAACAAGCAGCCATGTTAGTTCTATCAAAATTAAAGCAACAACTTCAAATGAACACTTACCCGAGCAGACTTCACCTAAAACGGGACACGAAGATTTTCTACGGTGATGGGTAGCTCTGAACAGAGTCCGCTGTGCACCAACACACGATGGGAATGGAAGCAGATCTACAAAATAGCAAGGAGACAAACATCATGCATTTTGTGACCTCAACATAAACAAACAGAAGCCTTCCATCATTCAACAAGCAAAAATCTACTCACGCCCTAAGCTGCTGACCACACAAGCTAGCAAAAATCAGAGGGTCAGATCGATCATTCTCTCTCTTGCCTTTTGAGAGGGTATAATGGGTGTGAAAAATTATAGTGAATAGTTGTTTACCCAGCTTTTTACAAAAAACCACATCCCAAAACGTTTTCCAAACAGTAAATAAAGATGTATTTCCGTTCCAAAATGTAAAAAGCAATGCATCTTAGATAAATGGCTTTCTGAGTGAATCCCCCTTAACCAAACAAGAGATTTCAAGAATCCTCAGTACATTTGTATAGGAAACCTGTGAAAAGCTTCAAGCCAAACGCCCCCTAAGGGAAAATATTTGTACAAATTTGGTTCTTCTTTTTGGTGGTTACTAAGTTATTTACATATCATAATTATAATTAATCATTAATTAAATATGATAACTAACTTGATTAATAATGTGTCAATAATTTATTAAGATAATGCACTTAACTTTTTATAAACTTAGTTTACATGAGTATTTCTTTTGTTCAAAATCACAAAAAGTCGCAGATAGAATACTACTAGGGATGTGTTTGGTACAAGGTTTATTTTGGGATTGCTGGAGAAGTGTGGGTGACTTTTGTAGTATACCATGTTTGGTACAAATTTCAAAAAAAATTATACCTGCAAAATATGTTGCCTGGGATTTGCGGTTTGTGTGAAAATTGTGAGGAAATTTACTGTTTGAAAATACCACTTCCCATGTGGTATTTTTCGTTTGCCGACTAAGTCTTATTTTGGGCTCCAAAATAAGGACGAAAATGACCCTCGCAATATCTCTTATTTTGCCGGCTAAGTCTTCGTCGTTGCCATCCGGGTGAGTCTTTCATGTCTCCCTCTTTCCCTTTCACGGTTTACCCCTGTTTTATAGATGGTGTAATGTTGCACTCCCATCCTCTGGGCTTAGTAGCGAGTGGCCCAATCGTAATAAAAGGCAACCGGCTTATTTAGTGGATTATTTTCAATAGTCACTTAAGCCCAGTTTATTAATTGTTCATGAATGGTCTGTTAAATTCTATGTAATGAAAACTACTAAGAAAAACTAGATATTAAATAGCCCAGGGGGCGTAAGAGTAAAAGATAGAAAAGTTGGACAAAACTCTCTTATCTCTCTTTTTCTCATCTCCTCTCTACTTCTTAGATCGTGAACCTTTCAATTGGTGCTTTCATTGCCCTCATCTTTTCTGCTATGGCTGAAAACACACACATGCGTGATTTACAACAACGCTTAGACACCTTGGAGCAACAATTTCGTGCTGCTGAATTGGTCCATGAACAACAATACCAGGGCCTCCAAGAGTCTAATACATAATTACAAGATTCCCAAAATCAATTACATGAATCCCAGAACCGTTTGCATATGGATCTCACTCGTCTCATTGAGTTTCAGCAACAGTCCTCTGGTGCTAACCATGTTAATCGTGGGATTCTTGGATCGGGTCCTAATGTTGGATCTGAATTCTCCAGATCTCGTCAAGTGAAGCTAGACTTTTCGCGATTTGCTTCTGGTGATCCCACCACCTGGATCGTCGCTGCTTAGAGGTATTTCACCTTCTATCAGGTACCTTTACCTGATCGTGTAAATTTAGCTGCCTTTCATTTGAATGATCCTGCAGATAGTTGGTTTTATGGGTCGGATTAGAATGGGTTGCTAACAGATTGGCAGACATTTTGCACAGTCTTGCAACGCCGTTTCGGACCTTCTGAGTTCGAGGATCCTGCTGGTGCCTTAGTTAAGCTACTAAAAACGGGTTCAGTATTAGATTACCAGTCTGGGTTTGAAAAACTTGTAAGTAAAGTTCCTGGCCTTTCTACTACAATGCTACGCAGTATTTTTATTTCTGGACTAGAACCGTATATTAAACGCCCTGTACTCACACAATGTCCTCAAGATTATCATGAAGCCTTCTCACTTGCCAGGGTTTATGAAGATCAGGCCAATGATTCTAAACCAGTTCGTTTCTGGCAGAACTTTACCAAACCAAATTCCCAAACCCCAACATCCACTGCCATTGTTCCTAGCCATCCCAATCCCTCACTCACACAACCTAATCCAATTTCAGCCTTACCCATTCGACGTCTATCACTAGAAGAGAGACAAGTGAAACATGAAAAAAATCTTTGTTATAACTGTGATGAGAAATACTCATTTGGTCATAAATGTAAAGGGAAGGCAACATTATTGTATTTAGAAGGAATTGAAGATGATCTCGGACCAGACATTCAACCCATTATGGAAGAACCTACGAATTATGATGTGGCACCAGAAATTAGTTTTAATGCTCTATTCGATCATCATAAATCACGCTCATTTTGCCTTACAGGGTCACTCAATGGGAAACCAGTTCAAGTTTTGGTTGATGGGGGCAGTACCCACAATTTTATAGCGCATGGCTAACTTTCTTTGCTTAACAATGCATGACATTATTCTGTTCCAAGTGCAGGTGGGCAATGGAGACGCCCTGCAGAGTACAACCTCTTGTGCTGAGGTGTCTTTAACTCTTCAATCCAACACATTTGTTCTAGATCTATTTGTGTTAGACCTCAAAGGGGCTGATATAGTTATAGGAGTTCAATGGCTGGCTACTCTAGGGCCTATTATGATAGACTATTCCCAAATGACCATGACTTTTAACCAGAGTGGCTCTACTGTTAGTCTAAAGGGTGACAATGCCATTTCCCTCACACCAATTTCCAATGCCAAATTACACAACTCATAGTCCAAAATTCTGTTTCGTCCTGCTTCATGTGTTTAACAAGTTCTTATCCTACTCTACCATCTTCTGATTTAACCCCATCTATTCCCTCGCCCATACAAGACATTTTACAACAATTTCAAGACATTTTTGCCATTCCAACCTCATTACCTCCTGACCGTCTTTCAAATCATAGCATTAACCTCATTCTCAACTCCAAACCAGTCAAAGTAAGACCATATAGGTACCCTCACTTTCAGAAACAAGAAATTGAGAAAATGGTGGGAGAAATGTTAGAAGCTAGAGTAATTCGACCTAGCCAATCGCCCTTTAGCTCTCCAGTCCTCTTAGTACGAAAGAAAGACGACACTTGGCGTTTCTGCATGGATTATCGTGCCATAAATGCTCTTACTGTTGCAGACAAATTCCCAATTCCCACAGTTGATGAACTGTTGGACAAATTGCTCGGTGCACAGCTTTTCTCCAAGCTTGATCTTAGGTCTGGTTATCACCAGATTAAAATGAATCCATCTGATGTGCATAAGACATCATTTCGCACCCACAGTGGTCATTTAGAATTTGTTGTGATGCCTTTCGGCCTGACAAATGCCCCATCCACCTTCCAAGCAACAATGAACCATATTTTCACACTATTTCTGCGGCGTTTTGTTGTCATCTTCTTCGATGATATACTTATATATAGCACCTCTCTTCAAGAATGTGCAGACCACTTAATACAGGTGCTACAAACATTACGCCAACACCAGTTCTTTGTTAAACTAACAAAGTGTTCATTTGCAATGCAGGAAATCCAATTTTTGGGCCACATTATATCTGTTGCTGATGTTGCCCCAGATCCATCCAAGGTTCAAGCTGTGCGTGATTGGCCCATTCCCAAGTTTGTAACTCAGCTTCGAGCTTTTCTAGGCCTTTCAGGTTATTATCGCCGTTTTATTAAAGGGTATGTTATGGTCGCAACTCCTCTTACAGATTTGTTATCCAAAGATGCCTTTGAATGGACGAAAAATGCCGATCATGCATTTCAATCCTTGAAGCATTTACTCACAACTGCCCCAATCCTTGTACTGTCCAATTTCTCTTTACCTTTTGTTTTGGAAACGGATGCATCGGGAGTGGGCGTGGGGGCAGTATTACTACAAGACAACCATCCTATTGCTTTCTTTAGTCGCAAACTCTCCAAGCTTATCCAGTCTAAATCTACGTATTTCAGAGAAATGTACGCTATTACTTTTGCCGTGGCAAAATGGCGACAATATCTCTTGGGTTCATTTTTTATTATCAAGACTGACCGCCAAAGCTTGCATCACTTGATGTCTCAAGTGATCCAAACCCTGGAACAACAGCAATTCCTTGCGAAGTTGCTGGGTTTTAACTACTCCATTCAGTATAAATCGGGAAAGGTTAATTTGGTGACTGACGCCCTATCACGTCTGCCTGAGGGGAATTCTCCTAATGTACCCTTTTCATTCATGGCTATCAGTAATCCTACCTCACAGTACAGTTCTATTATACAGTCCAAGATACAAAATTAATCCCTACACTACACAAATAATACAAGAATTGAAAACAGACTCCTCCAAATGGCTGAACTGGCAGTTACAAAAAAGGTCTCTTGTTTCACAAAAATCGGTTGTACATCCCTGCAGCATCCTTTTTAATTCCACTTTTACTTCATGAATTTCACTCCTCCAAGATAGGGGGACATGCTGGTGTTCGTCGTACCCTGTTGCGACTAGGTGCCAAGTTGACCTGGAAAAACATAAAAAAAGAGGTTCAAAAATTCATTCACGAATGTGAGGTTTGTCAGAAAGCAAAATCCCCAAATCATCCGCCTTATGGTCTCCTACAACCCTTATCAACACCCGAAGCCATCTGGTTAGATTTATCTATGGATTTCGTCATATCTACCTCTGTCAGGAGGATTTACGGCCATTTTCGAGGTAGTGGATAGGCTCACTAAAGGGGCACACTTTGCAGCTTTCCCCCCCAAATACTCGACGGTAAAAGTAGCACAAGTATTTTGGGATACAACGGGGAAGCTCCATGGCCCACCCAAATCCATTGTTTCTGACCGTGACCCACTATTTCTTAGTGACTTTTGGAAAACTTTGTTTAAACTTCAAGGAACCCTTTTACATTACAGTTCAGCCTACCACCCACAGCCCGACGGACAGACAGAGCGAGTTAACCGCAGCTTAGAACAATACCTGAGGTGTTTTGTCCATGACAATCCATCTGCATGGCATCGCTTTCTGAGTTGGGCTGAGTTCCACTACAACACAACCTACAATCGCTCCACGGGTACCTCTCCTTTTCAGGCTACATACGGTCGCTCACCACCCTGTCTTTTGGAATATACTATGGGTTCTACATCTGTGGAGGCGGTGGATTCCGATCTACATCAACGTTCCAAGATACTTGCGTCTCTGAAGCACAATTTAAAAAAGGCTCAAGCTTTAATGAAAACACAGGCAGATAGAAAACGTAAAGACATTACCTTTCATGTAAGGGACCTGGTGTTGTTACGTCTCCAACCTTTTCGTCAACTGTCTGTCCACTGGCAATCTTCTCACAAGCTAAGTTTTCACTTTTATGGGCCGTTTGAGGTTTTGGAGCCCATAGGCTAGGTTGCTTATCACTTGCGGTTACCGGATGGGTCCCGGGTTCACCCCGTATTTCATGCTTCTTTATTGCGACCATTCTTCCCAGCAAACACATATCAGATCCACAATCTGATACTAGATCTTCAGACCACTCCACCCATGCATACACTAGCAGCCATTATCTCTCGTCGGACGATATGGAGATAGGGACGACATATACCACAGGTTTTGGTTCAATGGAATGAACTACTACCAGAGGATTCCACTTGGGAGGATGAGTCCCTCCTACGCAATTTCTCCACCACAAAGGTTTCACCTTTGTCACTCACCAACTCTGGAGAAAAGCCAACCGGATGGGAAGAGAGAAGAGTGGAAGCTAATGAGCTGCATCCAACCACTCACGGTTTGGAAAATACAACCATCCTTAACTCCACTGACACTTCAACCAATCAGAACACAGGAGAGGGGATTCTTATCTCATCAATGACCAATCAGGTGGTCATTCCAAATTTGCCCTCCACCACAGTGCATGACAGCTCACAGTCACCAACACGCCCCTTTGTCTTAGTAAATGTTGCCAGCAACGGTACATTTCCACGCGCTGCTTCCTATCACGCAAAGCAACAATCTTTTGCACTCTCATCCTCTGGGCTTAGTAGCGAGAGGCCCAATCGTAATAAAAGGCAACCAGATTATTTAGTGGATTATTTTCAATAGTCACTTAAGCCTAGTTTATTAATTGTTTATGAATGGTCTGTTGAATTCTATGTAATGAAAACTACTGAGAAAAACTAGATATTAAATAGCCCAGGGGCCATAAGAGGAATAGACAGAAAAGTTGGACAAAACTCTCTTCTCTCTCTTTTTCTCATCTCCTCTCTACTTCTTAGATCGTGAACCCTTCATGTAGCCTTAATTTTTTTCTTTTGTTGCTGGAGTGTTCTTTTCTTGGTTCTGTTGTAAGTAACTGTCACCACCACCTGTGTTTGATTTATGCCCACTAAACTCAACCCTTTATTTTTTTCTCCTTGCTGCGAAGCGACCTCGCCTCTGCACGTTTGGGAGCAAGAACTCTTTTTCTTACTCTGAATATTGACCCGTATTACAGTGTCAAAGTGGGAAAGAAAAAAGGTTATTTTCATCATTTCAATCCATTTTTCCATTAATATTTTACATTAACCTAAACATTGACTCAGAAAATTTAATCCAATTTTTCCAATAATATTTCGGCCTACCAAACAACTTTTTTTTTTTAACTTTTCTACCAAACTCATTTTCCCACAATATTCCTATTAATTGTATTTCCCTGGTAAAAAAAATAACATATTCTTATTAGCAGTTTTTCATAGATGCAACTTGCAGATTTACTTCCCTAAATTTCATATGTATTCATAAACATGCCATTGAATTGATAAAACTTAAGAAGTCTGCCCCTGAACAAGACATGTCAAGGAAAGTAATGAAAAGCAATAATTCAGGAAAGATTTTGTGGTTTTTAAGGAACAACATTACGTATATAGATAATAAAACTTAAGAATATTTATGCTTGAAATAGATAATAAATTTGTGTAGTTGGAATCAGTGTTTTAAAAACTGACTCGGACCGGCCGGTTCAATCCGAAAACCAGTGACTCGGGCATGTGACCGGTCCAAGTAAGACATTGGATCAGTTATGCATCTAAACCGGTAAAAATCGAATCAACTCGGCCAGTTTGAATAAAAACAAGAGACCCGCAACTCGAATTAAACCGGTGCAAGTTTGACCAAACACGGATATCAAGTTTTTGCTTATGGATTCCTGAAGTGGCTTATAAATAGTATGCTTTTTCATACGCTAGTCGATGTGGGACTCATATCCTCCCAGTAAACGCCAGCGAAGTTGCAAGGGTCGGCAGTGAAGTGTTTTACCTCACCTCACTATAAAGACATCAAAATCTTTTGTAAAAGTGCATGTAGAGACCTATTTGAAGTATTCCTCTAAAGAAAATGTTGAGTGAGTGACCTCTTTTAGGGAAAAACATTATTTACCATTATTGTAAGTGAAGTTTGAGAGTGTATCTCTAGTGTTATTAGGGAAGCTTGAACCTTTGTAATCTCATTATTATCGTAGTGGAAAATTTTCTAAATTAATTCCTGTAATTTTTACTCCTCTGCATTAAGGAAGGTTTTGCACGTTAAATTCGTGTTTTGTGCTTTTCTCTTTTTCTCCATCTCTGTTTTTCTGCATTTTTGTGTTTTTGCATATGACATACCTGCTAACTTGTAGGCTGACCTCCAGGTGCTGAGTTGACGTGCTTCACTTGGTTGTGTATCGCTTTCGCGCTGATTGAGGGACATCGTCCCAACAAAAAGTTTATAAATATTCAAAATAAATGTTCATTTAATATTTTAATTGTTTTAAGGATTTTAAAATTATAAATTTATTTTATTAGAATATTATTATCTATAACAATATTCAAATCCCCGTGATTTTTCGTAATCCCTTGATAATACTTGAGATTATAGCTTCTAAAATAAAAATGTATGGTCTACCATACCAGGGCCCAAACCTATTAGCAATAATATGACCCACTATAGAACATCCAAAAAATTTGCAGATTTAGGATGATTAGGTCCTCACAAGTCACAACTCTTTAAGCTGAATCACCCATAAACTTCCTAGGGATATGTATAGTTTACGGCTCTCATGTCTTTTCGGTCAAACCATCTAAGCCCTGAAACGCTGACCTGACTTAGCCGCTATATACGTAATCTTAAAAGTCTTACCTTAGATATGTTCACTTAATATCTATACTATAATATCTTTTTTATTATGAAATCAACTTGAGTGTTACGAGTGTCTTTGCATATATCTTATCCAGTCTTTGACCAAAAAACCTCCACTACAGATCGATTTGAAGTTCTTCAACCTGATCAAGTTGTTTCAAGATCATTCCACACTCAAGCAGGAACACATGGTACAATTCAGCCAAAAAGTATTTCTCGAAGTATGATGACTAAGCATGTTAATTGTAGTCAGGAAGAAATTTTAATTAGAAGCTGAATTTATTTCAATGTCTGCTCATAGGATTTGCTATAGAGACCCGAGGATACCTTCTTTATCATCTACCCCAAAGGCATATTCAACCTTCTTAAGAAGGCAGTGAAGATCTTTGGGGTTGAATCCTTCATGAGAATAATAGTTTTCACAAACTGCAAATGCCTCAGAAAGCATTAAAAACTAAGAACGAAGAGCCTACCACCTTCCTACCACCTTCTTGGCTTAGTTAGTAAGATAAAATGTACATTAGATGCCTGTGATTACTAGGTGTTTGGAGTTATAGGGACATATGCTAAATTCCACAAGTGGTATATTCAAAATTTCGTGTTGCGAATTCAAGTGTGATTTATGAAATAGCACATTGATGAAGTATGAAATAAGTGAGATATAATAAGTAACAGGACTAATAAATTTATTATATTAAGCTTTCAAATTAATCCATTTATTGTAATTTTTGGCGTTACAAAAGTCACTAAATGGGAAAAAAAATCCAATTGACACAGATTAATTGAAGCAGTCCAAACATCTGGGATCATCAGTAACTGTCCCCTCTTCTGGAGCTTCAAAGACTGGCTTTTCTGAATCTTTGTATGGAAATCGCAGAGCCACCAGAGTGAATAACACTAAATTTATAGAACTTAACGCAGCCAATGACCAATAATAATTGTCTAGACGGCTTTTATTTAGTGTGTCCTGAAACCAACTTGGATTTCCTCCAATTTCACTAGCCTTGCCAAATGCATAAACTGTGACAACACTCCCCATGATTCCTGCTCCAGTTACACCAGCTGTGATATCAAGCAAGTAACTTCTCAGTGACTCAGGAATTTGATCATTGAAGAAACGTGTAGAACTAAAACTAGATATTCCGTTAAGGGCACTTAAGAAAAGATATTGTGGAATCAGCCAAAACATTGTCATTGGGATAATGTTTTTGTCTTTGGGTTTCTCCATTAATCCATGGCTTCTCACAACATCCAATCTCCTCCTTTCAACTGCAGCAGCAGTGATACAACACAATATGGAACATGTCATTGCTACTACCATTCCAAATGGGGGCACATATTTTCTAAGGTTGGCACGTACCATGTCTCTAACTTTGCCACTAATAAAGGAGAACAAAGTCTCAGCCAACTTATGAAAGACCAGAAGTGTGAAAAGAGGGAGCTTCAATTTTCCAAGATATGGGTTCATTTGATTTCCTTGCTCCATGAAGTAAGTTCCTCCAATGGAAGTAACAACCCCACACACTGGAAAAGTCATCCACAATGGTATCAAGTAAAGAAAGACCTTTGCTTCCTCTACTTCAGTTACAGTGCAGAGTTTCCATCTGTTACATTTTTGTTCTTCAAGGCTTGTGTTAGGAACTATAATGGCAGCCCTGTCCAGGCACCTGCATGCAGAAATTGCTTTTCGTACATGATAAGAAATAGCTACTAATTCTTTTGTTCTTCAAAAGTGTTAAGTTGATACAACTTGTCATAAAGTATGAAATGTTCAATATTAAAATTTGGCTACAAATTTTGACAAAATTGTTAGGCCAACAAATGATGCATATTCTATTAGACTCTAACGAAAGTTATAGGTCATTAACCACATATGTGATTGTATTTTATCATATTTTAACTGTCATTTTTGTTAAGAATAAACGTTAAATGTCAGTTTAGTTTTTAATGGATTTAATTAAGCAGTCAGTTTAATTTTTAATGGTTTTAAATTTGTCAGTTATGGATAGTTTATGAGTCATAAGTTTAGCATTTAATTTTAGGAGTTTTGAAAGTTAAGAGTCAGTCGTTATGTTTTGTTATTAAGTTTGGCTTTAATTGTGGTTTATGGCTATTTAGTGTTGCAGTTTTATAGTCTAGTATATTGTTTGAGAAACATAGAATTGAGAAGCAACGAAGTTTAGTAAAATATTTCACAGAAGTTTGTTCTCTTTCTCCACAAGTCCTCACGACATTCTTGAATAGTTGTTTTATTTGTTGGTTTTGTATTTGAGCGATCCTACAAATTGGTATCAGAGTTATGGAGAAATTGGTATCAGAGTTATGGAGAGTGTAAGTAATATGGCATTGCCTAAATTGACAAAAGGGAATTACGAGAATTGGAGTATCCAGATGAAGGCTCTTCTCGGTTCCCAGGAAGCTTGGGAGGTCGTCCAGGAAGGCTTTGCAGAACCAGCGACCACCGCAGGATACACGGCGGCCCAAACTAGAACGTTGAAAGAGACACGTGCAAAGGACAAGGCGGCGTTGTTCATGCTCTTCCGAGCTAAAAGATAGCGAATGCGGAGACCTCAAAGGAAGCGTGGGACATTCTGGCAAATGTCTATAGAGGAGCCAACCGAGTTAAGAAAGTTCGGCTTCAAACCCTTCGTGCCGAGTTGGAGGGAATGAAGATGAAGGACACAGAAGGAGTATCCGAGTTCATTACTCGTGTTCAAACCATTGTGAATCAATTGAAACGAAATGGAGAAGATGTAGCGGACACCAGAGTGGTGGAGAAGATCTTGAGATCTTTGACCGACAGCTTTGAGAACGTGGTATGTGCTATAGAAGAATCCAAAGATCTAGCTATGCTCACCATTGATGAGCTAGCCGGTTCTCTTGAAGCGCATGAGCAACGGAAGAAGGAGGAGACTCTTGGACAAGCACTTCAGACCAAAGCAACACTTAAAGATGAGAAGGCTCTCTATTCTCAAAACTTCCGAGGTAGAGGACGTGGTCGCGGTGGACGAGGCACTGGCCGTAGTGGTAGAGGCCGAGGCCGAAGTCAAGAAGGTTGTAATGATGAGGTAGGACAATCAAGTCAACAGAACTGGCGTGGAAGAGGAAGAGGTCGACGAGGAGGACGATCATATTATTCCAACGTCGAGTGTTACAAGTGTGGCAAGTTTGGTCACTTTGCGAAAGATTGTAACTCGGACAAGTGTTACAACTGTGGAAAAGTCGGACATTTTGCAAGAGAATGCAGAGAAGAGAAAAGGGTGGAGGAGACATCTAACCTAGCCACAGAAGGGGATATGAAGGATGGTGTTTTGTTAATGACACTCAATGAAGGAAACTCAGATGATGACATGGAGTGGTATCTTGACACGGGTGCGAGTAACCACATGTGCAGACATAAGCATTTCTTCAAGGAGATGAGAAAGGTGGAGACCAGACATGTTTCGTTTGGGGATGCCTCGAAGGTTGAGGTAAAAGGCCGTGGTACGGTATGCTTCCTGCAAAAGGACGAGTTGATTGGCTCAATCCGAGATGTGTACTATGTACCCGACCTAAAAAGCAATATTTTAAGCATGGGTCAATTGATGGAGAAAGGTTACTCGGTTATGATGAAGGATCGAGTATTGTATTTGAAAGATGAGAGAGGTCGGCTGATAGTCCAAGTTGAAATGGGCAGAAATCGAATGTACAAACTGAACTTGAGATGTGTACAGGTCGACTGTTTACAAGCCGAGGTGGAAGACAAGGCGTCACTTTGGCACCTCCGCTTTGGTCACCTACATTATGGTGGTCTAATCGAGCTGGAAAAGAAGAAGATGGTTGATGGACTGCCTGACATCAACTATGAAGGAAAGTTTTGTGAGAGTTGTGTACTTAGCAAGCATGCTAGGACCACGTTTCAGAAGATGGCGAGATTTCGGGCCAAGCAGCCTCTGGAGTTGATTCATACTGATCTGTGTGGTCCAATCACCCCAGAATCCTTTAGCGGTAAGAAATATTTCATTTCTTTCACTGATGATTTCTCACGAAAAACTTGGGTTTATTTCCTGAAGGAGAAGTCCGAGGTGTTTGAAGTATTCAAAAAGTTTAAAGTAATGATTGAGAAGGCAACATGAAAATTCATCAAGTCGGTGCGTTCTGACCGAGGTGGGGAATATACCTCGACAGCATTTCTGACATTCTGTGAGGAACATGGGATAAGAAGGTTTCTAACAGCACCATACTCACCACAACAAAACGGCGTTGCTGAAAGGAAGAACCGAACTGTTCTTGACATGGTTCGGTCAATGCTGAAGAACAAGAAGATGCCGAAGGAGTTTTGGGCGGAAGCTGTGCAGTGTGCTGTGTATGTGCAGAATCGATGTCCACATTCGAGTTTAGAGGACAAAACACCACAGGAAGCTTGGAGCGGTCAAAAGCCGTCAGTGGCTCATCTCAGAGTATTTGGTAGTGTGGCCTTTGCACACGTACCAGACCAGCTCAGAACTAAGCTCGAGGACAAAAGCAGGAAATATGTTTTTATGGGATATGATGAAAAAACAAAGAGGTATAAGTTGTTTGACCCTGTCAACAAGAAGGTCGTAGTGAGCCGAGATGTAAGGTTCAATGAAGCAGATGAGTGGGACTGGAGAAATTCACCCGAGGTGAATTTTGAAGGCGGAATCTCAACACAAGTTATCAACCCGGCAAGTCCTGAAGCTTCTGATGATGAAGATGAGGTACGACAACCCAGGATGCGGAGCATACAAGACATATATGAGTCAACAAGTGAGGTACATTTTGTTTGTCTTCTTGCAGATTCTGAAAATATAAGCTTTGAAGAAGCCATCCGAGATAAGAAATGGCAAGACGCCATAGATGAGGAGATAGAAGCCATTGATCGAAATAACACGTGGGAGTTAGCCGAGCTACCTGGAGGGAGTCAGCCCATTGGGGTAAAGTGGGTATTCAAGAAGAAAATGAATGCTCAAGGGGAGATAGAACAATATAAAGCTCGGCTAGTTGCAAAGGGTTACAAGCAAAAGGCAGGAATTGATTATGACGAGGTATTTGCTCCCGTGGCGAGAATGGAGACAATTCGGCTATTGATTTCTCAAGCAGCTCAACATATGTGGCAGATATTTCAAATGGATGTCAAGTCGGCATTCTTGAATGGAGTACTTGAAGAAGAAGTCTATCTCGAACAGCCACCGAGATACATGAAAGGTGGAGAAGAGAAGAAAGTGCTGAGGTTGAAGAAGGCACTTTACGGGTTGAAGCAGGAACCACGGGCGTGGAATACTCGTATTGACACTTATTTCAAGGAAAATCGTTTTGAGCAGTGCCCCTATGAACATGCACTTTATATAAAGAAAATTGGAGATGATGTTTTGTTTGTGGCTCTTTATGTGGATGACCTCATCTTTATGGGGAACAATGATGGAATGATACAAGAACTCAAAAGAACAATGACAAAGGAGTTTGAGATGACAGATCTCGGTCTGATGAGATATTTTCTTGGTCTGGAAGTCAGACAAGACAACTTGGGTATTTTTGTCTCTCAGGAAGCATATGCAAAGGAGATTCTCAAAAGATTTAAGATGACAGATTGCAACTCGGTTTCAACCCCTATGGAACCCGGTTCAAAACTCTCAAAGTATGATGGTGGAGATCGAGTTGACGCAAGCAACTACCGAAGTTTGGTAGGATGTCTTTGTTATCTGACATGCACAAGACCGGATCTCTCACTGAGTGTTGGGATTGTAAGTCGGTTCATGGAGGAGCCGAGTTATTCACACTGGAAGGCGGCAAAAAGAATCTTCAGGTATATACAAGGGACAACTTCATTGGGACTTCACTACTCGAGGTCCAAAAATTATAAGTTAATTGGGTACACTGATACTGACTGGTGTGGAGATGTAGACGATCGAAAAAGTACGTCGGGATATGTATTCTTCATGGGCAACACGACATTCACTTGGATCTCGAAGAAACAACCCATTGTGACTTTGTCGACCTGTGAAGCTGAATATGTAGCTGCGTCTTGGCGTGTTTGTCACGCAGTATGGCTCAGGAACTTATTAAGCAAGCTGGAGGAGAAACAAGTCGGCCCAACCGAGATCCGTATTGATAACAAGTCGGCTATAGAGTTAGCCTAGAACCCGGTGAATCATGAAAGAAGCAAGCATATTGACGTCCGTTTTCACTTCATCCGGGATCAAGTAAAGAAAGGAAATGTGGAGTTATTACATGTGGCAAGTCAAGACCAAGTCGGAGATATTTTCACAAAACCACTGCCGACGTTACTACTGGAAAACTGCAAAAGAATGATTGGCATGAAAGATGGCAGAAGCATTTAAGTTTACGGGGGAGTTTTGTTAAGAATAAACGTTAAATGTCAGTTTAGTTTTTAATGGATTTAATTAAGCAGTCAGTTTAATTTTTAATAGTTTTAAATTTGTCAGTTATGGATAGTTTATGAGTCATAAGTTTAGCATTTAATTTTAGGAGTTTTGAAAGTTAAGAGTCAGTCGTTATGTTTTGTTATTAAGTTTGGCTTTAATTGTGGTTTATGGCTATTTAGTGTTGCAGTTTTATAGTCTAGTATATTGTTTGAGAAACATAGAATTGAGAAGGAACGAAGTTTAGTAAAATATTTCACAGAAGTTTGTTCTCTTTCTCCACAAGTCCTCACGACATTCTTGAATAGTTGTTTTATTTGTTAGTTTTGTATTTGAGCGATCCTACAATTTTTTAATAATTAATATTACAATTTACTCTTTAATGTACATTCTGCTTTTTACTCTTTCATAACATAAAAAATGTTGTATTAAGAAAGAGAGTCTAAAATTATGAAGAAATCTAGATGAGTGATGGACAGGAAAAAAATGTTTCACGGAGAATTATTATTCTTACATTCTGAATGTGTAAAAAGGTTGTTGTTACGGAGAAGCCAAATGATATATATAAATGCAAATCTACTTTGAACTTATCTTTTCTTTTCACCTAATACGAAAGAATGATAAGATGCAGATAATGAAAACAACCTGAGGTTATTGGTATGAAGCATAGCGGGAACGACATTTTCTTGGTAAAGCTCATTTGCATCTGTTGGGAGGGCATAAGACTTATTTGAAGAAGATGCTACCAAGACTCTGAAGAACGTTGTGAGAGGGCTTCCTCTTGGAGTGCCCTTCCTGTAGGAACCTATCCCAGTCAAGTATAGAAAAGTAGCTATTATGACACAGATCGCGGAAATGCCGAAACGAATTGCCCATGACTTTACAAACTGAATTGCAAAACCACCAACAAGTGAGAGGAGAATAATGGTGGCTGCAGCCAAAAATTTATAAGCCTTTATTGCCATTCTGTAATCACAAATAATTACAGCCATAAGCTTTAGTCCCTTGTAGATGTTCTCCCGCGAGTCTTGATCACTGAGTAGGATATGAAGTTGTGACTCCAATGACCTTTGGAGGGAAGCTATAGCTCCAGCATATCCAATGGCTAGTAGGGGTAACGCAGTATAATACAGGGCCTTTTGGATATTGCTTAC